TTGGTTTCGAATGCTTGGCGTACGCTTGGTCTCGAACTTGGTCGTTACGGTCGCTTCTGGTCTTTTGGCTCAACGTGGTTTCGTCCTACGACTGCAGCGTTTCTGGTCCGCTTTCCCTACGAACGCCATCTTCAGCTTCTGGATACAAACCATTCTGGTGTAGCATACCAAGTCAAACAGCAAATACAGCACATCGCTCCTGGTACCGTTCTCCGAAAACGACCTTCGTTGGCAACTCGACGATCAACGATTGCTTTCCTGTTCGCCAATTCTCCCGTCCTACAATCGCTCGTCAGCCGATCAGTCCCACGACTTAAACCGCCATTTATCGAAAGTGTTAACCCTTTCTAGCGGGGGGCTCCTGTAGTGACTCACGTTTATCACGAGAACACGACTGGTTTAATAAAAACAATTATTATTATAACCAACTGTACCAGTGTTTGTTTTAATGTGCTTTTGTTTAACTGTGCTAATTATAGCCATTTTGTGCTTCCATTACCTTCCATTATTGTTCCGCGGTTTTTGGTACTGTTCGCACGTACTCCTGTCTTCTGCTTCCACTTGTACCATTCCTTGGCACGATCTCGGTATTCGTTCAATACCACCAGATCGCCAACGAAATAAATCTGGTTACGATCGATCCTCACCTTCTGATTTATCTGGCACGTGTTTCTGGGTAGCGGTGTTCACAGTTAATCTCAACTCGACACCACGCTACAGTCTTATTGACTGAACTAAATTCATCAGTATTAGACACACATACGGTAGAACTATAGAAGCCTTATAAAGAACAAGTTTCCTGAATTGTTTCTAGGACGCTGAAACTGCCGAAGAAGCCCTGTTGGTTTTACTGGACGCGCATTTAGTGAATGCAACCAATCAAACATCCGCACCAGACAATGAATAAGTAATCGTTGTTGAGTATTTCTGAGGCAAGTAGTTGGATCAAATCATATACGTGTCATTCGTATATATTTGGCCAACCAATCACATTAGCGAGACCTACTAGTCAGAAGTTGAATACTAGATTGATTAGGCACATATATATATCAGATATTGATTTGAGCAAACAAACTGAACGGGTGATTATGCAAATTAATCAGATCCATGCATGAGCAATTGTTAGGCCTACTCAGTAAATGACAGATGATTATGGTATTTGAAGGAACTGATGATACCTTTATACTTCATCACTCGCTCATTACGAATTCCAAATACAAAACATTCATTTGCGCTCATCTAATTCTATCTGGTTTAAATTGCGCTATTCCGAGAATTCCTAGTTAGTATGATAATTCACATATTTTAGCCATCACATTTATGTCGCGATGGAGCATGTGATTCAACAGTTTGATTTACATTCAAACTCTGAATCTTTCGAAGATAACATGGAAAGTTTTGAACTCTGGAGTATGACCAAGAAATATGTTAGGGATGATAAAACTGTGGCTATTCAATTACATTCATCGGAAAGGATGCCAACAACTTACTAAGAGCTTTAGCATTCCCAGAAAAGCCTATTTCATTTCCTTACAGAATTCATGAACTACTATAAAATCACGCGAAGTGTACTTCAGACTCTGTGAAAGAGTGAAATTTCACAAAGCGATTCGTCAGGACATCAAGGATTCTACTACATTACTTAGTTATCTCAATCCAATGCGTGCTCACTGTCATGCAGATAACAATTCATTGAGGAGTTGCGAAGCAATTTACAGAGGTGAACACATGTTTGATAAGTGCTTACCCTGAGGTAAATTTCACTCGTGTAAATCATGTGCATTTCGTCATTTCAAATATTTAAATGTGGTGAATTAGAACATGTCCAGCCGGTCTGTAGAGCTGTTGTTCGTTTTGTCACGTATGATGATAAACCCTGTAACTTGGATTTTAATTAGCTGGGTGTTTCTAATGATCACTTATATTTATTCAGGGTTTCGGAAGGCAGTAACTATATTCAGAAGGGATTATATATCTCCCTTGATTCATTCCATGACAGATGGACTACCATTCTTGATCATAAGGGGAAGGTTGACTTTATTTACCTTAGTTTCTTGAAAGCTTGTGATAGGGCCAACCATATATATGTCTTGTCAATAGGCCACGACTTAGAAAACTGCACGCTAGAGGTATCACAAGATGAAAAATATTTAGGAGTTCTGGTACTCTGCCACTTGAAGTCTTACGTTAACTGTGACAAAAATGCTTTTCGAGCAAGCCTTGGACTGGTAACACTGAAGTGCATTTTTGGCCAGTTTGAACTAAGAACTTTCCACATGATCTTCCACAGTTTCATTTGTCCCCATTTAGAGTACGAAAACATAGTATTTCCTCCCTCACTAAGAGAGGATAAGGACACTCTGGAGTGAATCCAACAGCGATCTACAAAATCATTTCGAGGGCTCAAATTCAAGCCCTATGAAGAGCGCCTCCAATCACCAAACTTCTAACCATTAGAGTACAGGAGTCTTAGAGGTGACCTTCTAATGGCTCACAGCATCCTAAATACTGCTGGAGACCCCATAAAACACGTACTTAGGTTTAACTCCAACACAAACCTAAGGGGTAAAACCTGGAAACTGGAGACACAACACAGCAGAATGGATTGAAAATACACCTTTTACTCCTTAAGAGTTGTCAAATGCTGGAATTCGCCGCCGGCTCAGATAGTCCAAGATACATCGCAGGAGTCCTTTAAAAGGAATCATGATATATTCTTAAGGATTAAGGATTGTGTCCTACCAATTCCTTTTTCCTCTTTTATCGTTAACATACCTAGGTTCCTGCCTGGAGGTATCGGTGATCCATTGCTACTAGATTCGGAAGTATTTTAAGCAAAAGCTTCTTCTATTCCGTCCACAACTCTTGGAAGCATTCCCGCTTGTTCCATATATCCCGGTCCTTGCTGCAAAAAAACTTTGGTCACTTGCTACTAGACAATGAGGTTCACCAGGTTGAATCTTGTCTTGTTTAGCTCGCAACAATCTGTCTATAAATGTCATGTCTTTAAAGACATGGATTATACATTGTAATCTGAAACCCATGGCAATTATTTATAATTATTCGTTACGGTACGAAATAAGCTGTTGTCGGTACTGTTCGTAATTTTGTTTGTTTTTCGGATAATTAATCCATATATCTTCATATTTACTATATCCGAAACCTAAAAACACCTCATCCATATCTTCGTCTACCATCTCAATGCTTTAGTTTAGTGGCATGATACCCTCTAATAATCCCGATTAAACTGAATGGGAATGAAAGGCAAATTTCGAGAAAAAATGTGTGACATTGGATGACAAAAAATAGGAAATAATTCATGCGAAATTGCAACTTAAGTCACCTTTTTCGCCCACTCTGAAGAAATAATAAAACATATGGGGAAATATTTCCCTAAAATGTCCACCATGAGGCGAGAAATCTATAAGTTCACACCTTATTGATCTCTGAATAGTCTACTTTTCGCCAAGATTTAAGCCATATTGTCTCACTTTCGTCTGACTCCACTCAAACTCCAGATATCTCCTGCACTTGCGAGATATTTATATGTTCCAATTGTAGCCTGAATATTCTCGGATTTTGCCTTCGCTTCTATGTGAAAATGGATATCACTAAGAATGCTCATTAGCACATAATATCAAATTTATTTCGATCCTTGGTATTCAGAAGGAATAACATAAGCATAAAAACTCGTATTACAGCGGTACGTGTCCATACTAACCGGTGAGTCCTATTACCATCACTGTACATCTGGGAAAAAAAATACCTTATCGGTTTGTGAACATTTTCGGTGTAGCAGATGACAAATAAAAAATCACACGTTACATAATTAATTTGTTAAATGAGGTGCAAAATAAACACTAGGTTCGGCCTCCCTTATAGACATGCACTTACAAACAATGTCACTACCAGATATCTACATGTGCTCATGACTAATCACTGGGCACATGAATATACATTTATCACTAGATGGGAAGAGTTGTAATACGAAACCCGAAAAGTCTGCACGAGGTCTTAACTTATGTATTCCATATTCACTGACATCAGTTTTGGTTGTCATCGAACAATCGCTACATTATCTGGCCTAATTGGTGTTAACGTAGTATTTCTGTGTGACAAACTTTTCTGGGGTCATAAGGAAGAATGTCTTGGGTGGTGGATAGACAAATACTATCTTGAAGCCTACTTAAAGTGTTCACGTCCGTAATACCGTTTGTATTCTATTATTATTCAACTCCGTTCTGACAAAATCTTCTGATTGTTTATATAACTTAGGATAAGACAAAAAATAAGTTGAAAATGCTAGCCGTTTAAAATTTAGATAAAGAGGTTGTGATAAAACATTTTTAGGAATTACGGGTTCCCAAATACCTTGATACGGCCGAGGGTGGGGAGAGTCAGTTCTCCCACTCGAAATGCTCTCTCTGGTTTTCATTTTGTTCGATTCAACTTCAGACCTGCGCACGTTTTTATTAGATCTTAAGTTTGTTACATCTTTTTCATCTCACTACTACATGTTATTATTCACATCAGTACTGTGGTTATCAACAGTTGGAGCATCCATTTAATTTATCTAGAATTTTTTATGTCCTTTTATATTCTTTTGTTGTGTCCTTTGCATTGGATATCACCTATATAAAATAAGATCAAAGATATTAGGTAAGTAGTTGCGACATTCTATATAGAATAGAACCACTGGTCCTGAAATGTTCCTCATGGTGGTCTTCAACTAGGCATCTTGGACCCCACCGATTTTTTCTGTCGTCGTCCAGTTAGAAAATATGTCATCCGTCGAAGTAGACTGCTTCTTATTTTATTTTATTTGAACACATAAATTTTGGTACAAGAAGGCACCAAATATATATGCGCCACACAAAACAACGAGAATGGGAAGGGAAAAAGGTAAGGAGTATATAAGGAAAAAAGAACAATAACGACCATAGATTAGCGCTAGGTAGTGTAATAATAATAATAATAATAATAATGGGGGAAACGGAAAGGTACAACGAAAATTCTTTCAGTTAAGGGAGATACAACCACTTTTTATACAGAAAGTAAAAGAAGGTTACGGCAGGATCGCCACTGGTTTCTATTCTGAGCCATATCTGATAACGTCTCTAGCCACTGTGTTGCACCATCCCTCGGACCCCAACCAGGGGATCGTGAAGGACCAACAGAAGCCAGTCCTTTGCAACTTTCTTTCATACCACGACATCATGTCATACACTGACCACCTCTCCGCTTTCTCCAACCAGTCCCGGCGTCCGCAAATAATGACTGTTTCTTGTAACAATTTTCATAAATTTAAATAACAAATAGACCCGGGTCAGGTTTAATTGACTGAATCGCCACCAACAATCGTCTTTGTCTTATGAAGCTAAATGTTTTAACCGGAGTAAGAAGTGGTTGACACTAAAAGAGAAGTACTGACTTACAATCTCAGGAAGATCGCTACGTAGGTCCAATACAATATGAGTCCTTTCACTACCTAGATAATTCAAATGAAATGAGTCCAATAGATGTTTAATACCAAATAGGAATTCGAATGCACAGATCGGATATCTAGGAACATTATTAAGCATCTTAAATGTCCTATGGGAATTCACCAGTTACAGATTTCTTATATTGCTTACATGAAGACACCTTTACACAGATAGTTATACGCATCTTGAGCTCGTTCTTATTACCGCTGTTCGTATTTTCCGAGTCTTTCAGCTACTTTTTTTTATTTTTTTGGTATTTGTAGGACCCCGAGGGAGAGACATACCTGGCCCCTATACAGAGTCTACCCCCAAAAACACTGGTTTGGGACACAAAGACCTTTATTATTCTTTCTACACAAAGATTTTCTGATCGAATACATTTATCAAAAGTATTCAAACACAGATAATAACGTGGTTCTCATTATATTGGGGTCAGTCATAGTTCAACTCAAGCGGTTCTTTGTTACAAGCCAATGTTAAGTGCTAAACTACGCTGTAAGTTAATCTTCATATTAAACGTATATTTAGTAGTTCTACGTGGATTGGCTCCTGTCAGCTTTGATGACTCGATTCTCCAATGTTCTACCTTACAAAATAAGTATGAAGTACCGAAAAATCTCCAGTCAAGTTTTGTTACCTCAGAAAAATTATATTCTCGACATTTGCTACACGTAACCTACTTTTTCACTTTTTAATAATTTTAGTTACAGGAAGCATATCTCAATAGATTTCCATTCACTATTGCTAATCCCGCTGTTACCGAATTAGTCTCTTGTAAGGGCTCTACTTTCGTATGTCGTAACAAGCCCATAGAAACAAAGAATCAAAGTTGTCAGACTGAAACACTTGATACCGAAACAAACTTAGAAGCTTTATCTACAAAAGTAGACCAAATCTTTCACAAGTTAAACTGTGTAAGTACTGTATTATTAATATTATTTAATGCTTTGTTTTATTTTAGCATACATAAGTAATGCTTTTCGGCATGTCGTTGAAAATAAATTTGCAAATTTATCTATTTATTTGGAAGCTAGCGTAGTCTTATTAAATTCTCGTCTACAATTAACTGGATTTTTCTTTTAAATATTTTACACAAGTGTACAATAGCACTTCTTGAATGTTTACAATTTTGTAAACAACTCAGTTTAATGGTCATGGAATCCATAAACGCATTTTCTTTATATTATGATTTCACTTTTTTACAACTATTGTTGTACATCAAAATCACTTAGTAGTAAAGGTCGCGTGATATCGTAGCTGTCGTTCCTTATTGAAGTTCACTGTATCTTCAAATTATTTACTTCCTTGACCTCTAATTAAATGTGTAATATCAATATTATTAATATATTGGTTGTATTACATACAATGGTAATAAGATTATTTTGTATAATTGCTAATCCACTGTATCATGTTCAAATAAATCGCCTGCTCATTGTATACCAAACTTCGTGAATGAAGGGCTTATCAGACCTGATGACTAACGATCAATCATCCTATTGTTCGCCAGAGTATGAAATTTCTGATATATTCATATGGTGTAAATCTAAACAGGAGTTTAGCAGTTAAGAGCTAAACCTTTAACCATTGAGTTACAGAATCGAAATTTATTGTCTGTTTACACAAGTTGGCTGTATTATTGCATTGTTACTCATGCCCGTTACACCTCGTAGAGGATCAAAGGCTGCCCACCAGCATTATCCATCCAACTCTGTCCTGGGCAATCCTTTCCAGTTGCTATTCATTCTTTTGATATCTGCTTCCAGTTCCCGACGTAATGTGTTCTTGTGTCTTCCTCTTTTCCTGTTGCTTCCAGGATTCCAAGTTGGTACTTGTCTCGTGATGCAGTTTGACGATTTCCACAATGTATGTCCTATCCACCTCCATCTTTTTATCTTTATATCCTTCTCAGCTGGTAGCTGGTTTCTTCGCTCCCACAGTAGAGTATCTTGCGAAGACAATTGTCTAGAATCACAAATGTTCTTGCTATTTATACAAGTGGTCTTATACACAAAGCAACTGTTTTGTTTAGAACCAATAATTGCTTTAATGAGTTCTTTCAATATATTATCTACTCACGATTTCGCCGACGGTATTTAGTTCTATTAATAAATATTTTCTGTATCTAATTTACTCATCTGTTTTTGTTTCTGTACAGCATGCACTGAAATCTATTTCAGAAAGCAAGATAAAACACTTCCCCAAATTGTGGTTGGATTTAGGGGAATTAAACTATTCACCAGCGCAGTATAATCTAGGTGTATGGTACGAAAAGCAAGCATCTGAGTGCCTGTCTCTTCAGGATGGTCTGAAGCGACATTATAACAAACAAGCGGGTCATTGGTACAGTTGTGCTGTTCGGGGAGATTCCCATCCACTGGCTGCCTATAATTTAGCATGTCTTATTCTGGATTCTGAAGAGCCCATAATCCATTCGAACTCGTCAGATAAACCTTCCACATTTACGGTCACAAATCTAATGAAACTGGCCGCTGATGGTAATGTCAAACAGGTTAGTCACTTTTTTGATCACAAGCTTATATACTCAGCATAAGGACTCGCTGTTACAGCATGTACTTTATTGTCATGATTCTAGTTTACAAATATTATCAGCCTAAATTCTTTAAAATTACTTCGGACTTTATTAGTTATTTTGTTTATGACCGTACATGCTTTCAAAAAGACATCCGCCAACTAAATCAAGTAAGATAACCCAAGATAAATCGATTTATATTGATCAGCATTTGGTTTTTGCGCCGTCTTCCTGAACCTAGTGATGAACAGATGGTCTAAATATTTATCCAGCTTACATATTTTCTCCATGATGAGCTATTTCCTCACATAAATTCTATTCAGTCAATTTTCATTTATTTCAAGGATACTGAATGTAAAAAGTATAAGATAAACCGGTAATTAGAGTGTTATAACTGAAATGGCGATCGTGATTGATGTTTTTTTAACTCATCTATGTAAAAATGTAGTATTATTTTGAAATAAATGGATCGCCTTCTTGGTTTCCAGGACTGGATATTTTAAACACCCACTAGTGCGTACACGTCCAGCTATGCTAACATCCAGTAATAAAAATAAAATAGAGAACTATCGTATCTGGAATTTCGATTTTCCCCTGATATGAACTGCTAGTTGATGGATAAGGTATTTTCCTACCCCAGATTTTGATTTATGCGATTACGTGATCCAAATCCCACTGTATATTTATTCCTGTCTTTCAACCAATCAATGTAAATTACTCGACAGTTTTCTTGTGTTTGAATTTTAGGTTCTAATTTTCACCAGTGTAAACCATATTCACTTTTTAATCATCATCAAAACTGAGTCATATTATAGATCTTTTGGGAAACATTTTACCGGAGTAAAATGTTCATTATTTTGATAGATTTTATGTTCTTGTCAAATTATAAGAAACATTTCTTTCTTTCTTTATTCAGGCAAAGAAATACTTATCGGAACAATGTATTACAAAAACATAGTTGATTGGTCGATCATTTGAAATTCTTATTTTTTTCTATAGTGATATTATTTTGAAAGCATTTACTAAAAACTGCATTTCATGACAACTTTCTAACAATCGTCTTTTTACTTTAGTATTTTTCATATCCCCCATTATTACTTTGAAATCTCAATAAAAGGCAACTGGAAGAAATTGTCTTATTTTTTCTGAATGGACATGAAGCATAATATAATTCTATGCCACAAAGCCAATATTAGTATTATTACTGTTTACCACTGCCATTGTTTATTAAGAGCAATTCATTTCGCATTGTAATAATTTGGAAAGGGAGTTTTGAATACTTCAGTTATTACAGCTAACATTACAAATACGTTTGCGATTTAATTGACTGATAATGTATAGATGGATAGTGTTAACAAAATACTGATAGTTCAAAAAAAGAAATGCTAGATTAGAAATTTCCGACGTCTTTACTTTAAAAACAATTTTTATAACTGGCAGTCAGAATTACCAATTCTTATATTTGATTACCAAGCTAAATATTTCATTTTCTGTCTATTCTGGTTAACTTAGACAGCCACCTATGGTCTAACCAGCAAACTAGGTTCTGTAATAACATCTTCAAACCCTCATCTTTCCGATTACTGCTTATACGCTTACTACCTCTACCACTATGGATGTGAATCGACACGTATCTCTGCTAATGTGGTATGGCAACTCGAACTGATGTACGTACGTATGAAGTTCTATGTTGTTGCTGACTGTTTTGATAAATGTCAATCAGTAACAACGTAGAACATTGTACGTACGTACATCAGTTCAAGTTGCTATACCACATTAGCACAGCGATGCAGTTGTCGATTCAAATCCCACAGTGGTAGAGGTAGTAAGAGTATAAGCAGTAATCGGGAAGATCAGGGTTTGGATAAATGCATGTCCAACTTTTTGACCGTCAAATATCAGGGATAGATTTCTTGGCAGTATGATATTTCTATAGATCTTTGTTTTTATCGTTATATAAGAGTTCACAATAACTGGATTTCCAAGCCATGTCATACTGTTATATTTTTTTTAATTTTTTATTATTATTAGCTTTATTCAATATTATAATTTTGGTACAATATAGAATTCTCAGCGCAAAGTATTTCAACAAGTTTCCGTTTCTTTCTTCTTGGTCGGTCCTGGCGATAAATATTGAGGGATCGCCAGTTAGATGTTAGCACTTCAGTGAATGAACAACTGAATAATGTACATTCTTTTCGTTGTATATTGCCAGCAACCATATTGTCTCTTATTGAGTTTTCTGTAACTTTGACAACGAAAGGTTGTACACTTTTCAGAAACGCAGCAGAATAGGTTATGCGATTAATAAACATAATGATATATTAAAACAAACAACAATAGATAACTTGTTGAAATATCTAGATGGCAGGAACAGGTAGCCCAGATGCTCAAGCAGGCCGCCCTGAGTTGTTACCTACTAGGTGGTTTTTCAGCACAGCCTATTATCTATACCTGAGACAAATATTTAGTTCTGTGAGGATGCTTTGTGTTATATTCATGCTTTAGTCTAACTGATAGTTGCTCAGATACTTCTGTTTGAATTTACCATTTCTATGAGATTAATTAAAATAGTTACCAAGTGGAATGATGATATATATAACTATTTCCACGCTCGTCCGATTTCTCAAGTCAGCTGCTCTCCCAAGCTCCATAAAACAATGTTGTTATTCGTTGACTAGCGGTCGGTTCAATTATTCACATTCTTATAAACTTCGAAAAAGAATGTTCGATGATGCGAATCAATCCCAAGTTCCTGATCTTTATTTCTATAATGATAAAGAATTAACTTAATCAACTTAAAAATAGTATTTTTTGTTGAGATGAAAAGATCAACATAATTATCATGAGTGTAGAAAGAAAGAAAGAAAGAAAGAAAGAGCCCAGTGTAATGAGAATTGATAATAAATCTAGGAAAAGTGAAGGGCAAATTGAACAAAGTGTGGATTTAATAATAAATGTTAAGTAATATTAGTAGTGTGTCCATTTTCTGATAAGGAATATAATATACCCTTACATAGAAACGAATTCGCTCACTGGAATGAAGAAAAGACCAATAGCGAAATAATACAAAACAATACAGTAGGTTAACCATTATTAACATGTAAACAACGTAAATTATCACAGTTCCAAAAAGTTAAAAAACATCAATATTTTCTGGTAATTGTATGATAAATCAACTGAAGTATTGACTGATTATCTTACATTCAGCAATTAATAAACATAGTACTGACTAGTTAGTTAGCTTATAAGTAAGAAAAATAAAAGATACATTCAAAATTGCCTGGTGATGATAATCATTAAGGTACATGTTTAGTTTGAGTATCTGGACAATTCGTATCTGTATTTGTCGGAGTCTTCACATTCATACTTGTTTTGATATTATCCTCCAAGTTAGATGGTGGGAATTCTAGAAGTTCTATACCCTGTTGTACTTGAGTTAATGTCTGTTGCATCTAAAATTTAACGAAAAAATGTAAGTGCATAAAAGATTGATAGATCAATTATGTAACTACTCAACAGCTGTATGATATATGAAGAAGTTATATTTGAAATAATCTCAGCGATTGAAATTTACATAATTCCAACGTTTCGTCCAGTAAATTTGCTCTAACCAACGAGACAAATTTGTCACTAAGACTTATTTAGATCACTGGTATGTATGTATATATATATAGGATCGAAGTAATATTAACATTCTCTTACCTGTATAAGTGTTTTAGATAACAGGTGTATGAGATCTTTCATCACTTTTAATCGTGTTCTTGCCCATTCAGGTGATTTTGAAGCTAAATGATCCTTGTAAATTGGTGTAGATCTTCGATCTTCTTGTGGTGATGTTCCAAATAGATCATGAAAATGATTCCGATCATGAGCTGATAAAGGAGGAAATTGTTCCGCTAGTTTTTCTAAAACTACTAGCCGATTATATACCATTGATAAGAATAAGCAAAGTAATAAACCTCTGTGAAAGAGAAAATGCAACAAGGAAAATTCAATGACTGATTTCAGAAAATTAATAGTATAGAAATATATATAGTTTTGGGCGAAATCTGCAAAATGTTAAAATGAAGTATTATTAAGTGTGGAGAAAAATTAATGCTTTAAATCCCTATATTTAATCAGCCAGCCAAACCAATTTAAATACAATTTGAGAAAATGAACATCTTTTTCTGATTCATTGTGACTTCGTAAAAGCAGTTTTGTTATCTCATCGAAATTAAAGTTGGTTCACTACTATGAATCCTTGTCCATTTGTAACCCCTGGATTTATAAGTACATCGGAATATGTTTCGAGTAGGTAAAGTCATGTGAAATGCAAATACAACAATCTGGCGATTGTCAATTCATGGGTATAATAGTTTCTACAAGGTATGATAACAAATCGACTTCAAAAGTCTAACGTAATGAAATACGCCTCACTCATTGAGTCCATAATGAACAGTCACAAAAACGTATGCGGCTCTTTCAAATGAAGTATTCTGTGAACAGATGTATTAATAAAAATGGTTGTATGTATGGAAAGGGAAACACCGAATACAGTAGATAGGAACTGAATTGAAATTGAGATATGGAGTAAAAGAAGTACAAGTTAATTTAGTTTATGATACAGCACTGATTAAATAGTCCTATAAAAAAGATTATTAGTCGAATTATCTAAAAATAGTCTCTTTATTCGTTATATTTGAATATACACAATAATACTGAATTCTAATCAAATAAAGAATTTTCCACAACTGCTACAGTCAGTCAGTCAGTGGTCTTGAGTGTTGTTAGAGGTATGAGGGTGGTTATCACTTCCCGGTCGCCCACACCGTGGAGGGGTTCTTCTGGAGTTACCTGAAAGGGAAATTGGATTAGAGTTGGTCTTAGTGACCTGGGAGCGTGACCGCAGTGCCCAAGGGACAACTGCTTGAGGTCGGTCACACACAACCTTTTTATGGGTAATTTTTGCGTTAGCTCCGTACTTTTTGGGACCTTACCGCCGGAGACGGATATCCGTGGGATAAGGCGAAGTGTGCATTTTTAGGGTCAACCTTTTCTAACCCCACCCCTCCTTGTGGGAAGGCAGCATCGCTGTCATGCTGGTTGTCTGAAGGAAACACCTTACTGCAGTACGACTTCGCTTTCGGACCTTGGGTTTGTTGCTTTTAGTCTTACCACTCACCAACCGACCTGTCTGACGTGGTAGGAACTTGAGGAACGGTTGTTCCAGCCAGTGTAGCTCGGTTGCTTCATCACAATAGGCAAGCCCGACCACCACGTCAAGGTAGCAACAATGGTCGGGGTTACATAGTCTTTTGATGATTCATTGAAACAACATAATCACAAACTTTTACCACTACATGTCTTCCATTCATGTGGCGTATTAGTCGATTCGACCGTTTGAACAATGAATTAAGAAAATAAGTCTTCATATTAATTATCTGTCATACAGCAGTACGTCGTATCAAACAACCACTAAGTACATGTTTATGTACTCTTTTGAGTTACATTATATAGGGATAGTGATGCTGTGAGGTTAGAACCTGTAACTTTTCTGCTTAAGAGATGAGTGTTTTAATCATTAATTTACTGCTCTATTCATTAGCTCATAAATAATTCAAATATTTTGCTGATAAATGAGAAAAGAATCTCTGAGAACACAAGTAGGGACAATCGAATGTATGTGAACACAAAATTACAGAACGTCTGAGAACCATACAGTAAATACTTTGTTTACAAAATGTTAATTAATTGTCTCACACCTGACTGTTCCTTTTGCAAATATCAGTCAATCGTCTCAAACTTCATTCTTTCACTTTCACACCAATCACTCTTTGTTTTCATCCTCTTTTCTTTAATCTTCTTAACCTTCTGCCTCCAGACATTTCACTTTCGACTGACGATATATACAACTTATATCTGTCAACATTAGTAGCACACACCACATGGGGAATAAGTGGAACAAAATAATAAACCTCTTTCTCTGACCAATAATTTATTAGGAAACTTTCTAAGTGAATTTAACACACAAAAAATACCACTTACATAACAACTAGTAATAACCAAGCACGATCTGGACGCATAAATAAGTAAGTCATATCACCAGACCCGAATAGTGTAGTTTTATTTTGTTTTTTAACATTTGTATTATCATTTATACAGCTGTTGAATATAGATGATTTCGCTTGATCAGAATATCGTGATGCAGGGACTTTACTACTGTTTACACTCCCTGTAAACAATGCATCAGCTTTATTAAGTTTACGATTATTCTGATTACCATTAACACTTTGAATTAATAGTGGATTATTTTGAATATTTGATGGATTTAACGAAGGAGTAATATTGTTTAAGCATCCTCTCTGTTGTGCTAACCAACCACCGGTTAGACGTTCTTCTAAGGATAAATTTGTAGAGAATTCTTTTAATTTAATAGTTATTGTATCAAAGAAATCCGAAAGACCAGAATGACAAGTATTTTCTATGATACTTTTTGCTCCAAAAAACACTGGTTTCTCATAAATAACTTGTGAACTAACGTGTAGTCGGCTAGTTGTACGATTTACATACAATAAACAATAACGACTAACTACATAGAAACAATTACTTAGTGGTACAGCATGATTTGTAACTTTAGCATCAATGATATATCTTTTCCCAGATATGGATTCACTTGAGAGAAGAGTCTGAAATTCACAACAAAAAGTAAAACCATTTGTAAATATTTAAATTTTGTGTTAATTTATCTAAAATTGAACAAGAGAAAAGGTATCAGTTGAGTAAAAAAAACGTGAAAGAATAATACATAGTCAAATTAATGAACACTACCGACATATATATTGTTATTTATAATATCTTTAGTTAGAAAGGTCAATAATTATAATTGAAAGGAACATACAAAGAGAATTATTAGTAGAGTTCTTTACTGTACAATAAGCAAAATACATGAACTCTAACCATAGACTATAATATTTGTATGATGTTAACTAACACCGTTGATCAATATGAATGGTCAAAACAAACTATACTGTTAAATTAAATACACATTACAAATAATTGATGGATGTTCGTTAAAACTAACATAATCTATGCGGATATTGGTATTAGAAAACTAATCAATATTACGTACATGATTTAATTCAAACATTCATCCATAGGCAATATAACCATAGTGAATGATAACAACTTCAAACGGTAAAGATTTAAATAACTGATTATAAATCATATTCTAAAGAACCAAATGTTCTCAATCATTATCAAACCCAAAACTGCATATTTTCCTAATTGTCAATCAAGTTAAAGTCATTATACTAAGAGACTAGTTCGCAAGTATGATTGATCTTCGCAGGGGAGAAGGCTTATAAAATATATATATACAAACAGATGAAAAAACTTATAACTTAAAAATAATGGCTAAGTTTTGACAAATAATGATTATTTTAGTAAAAAACCAACCAACAATACAATGGGATTAAACTAATACTAGTACTAAATTTTTACATTGACAATAAAATGTAACTGTATATAAAATTAAATTATTGAATTTTCACACGTAAAAGATCACTTTGGTAGACTGTAACAATGAGTCAATGAAACACGACACTGCATTGTTACTTTCTTTTTTCTTTCAAATTAGTTAAATTCATGTTGAAATTGATAAAAGAAATAATGAAAATCCGATTATTTGTTCCATTGTCACAAAATGATTTTTGTGTAGTAGTTCTCCCCCTAAAAATGGTTTTATACATCCAAGAGTTTGGGTCTCTGCCAAGGACGTCCACGTGGTGAAAGTGATTTTACAGAAAGAGAAGCTGAAAAGCGAACGTCTAGGGCTTAAACTCCGCTTTTAAATATGGATAGTTCACCTGAGGGAGCTAGAGAACCATTATTCCAGGCTGACGGTGTACATAGGATCTAGATATGAAGAATAGTATACCGATCTATTTACACCACTGGCTACTATGGTAGTGCATCTTATGAACTTGCTTGATCGCCTTGTGTATCATGATCTTGTTTCAGAGCTTATAAGATTAGTTCCAAAATAAAACCACCCACTTCAATCTCGGCCTTAAGATATTATCTTGGAGCCCGCACACAGAAGTTTACCACGTCGTCATTAAAAGAATGAATACGAAGCATGGTAAGTTAACTGCATACACAACCAAAAAAATAGTTGCTTTCTTACGAGCACTACTTGTTATTAGTAAGTAGTATGATATTTATTTATACAAAAAGGTCGGACTGTGGACTATGTTCATCTACTTCAACAACAGCTTCATGAAGGAGACTAAAATAGCAGGTTAAAAAGAGAAATCCATCGTTACAATTTTCTGTTTCTCTATAAAAAATAGTTTGTCAAAGCATTTTGGAAAAAGAGTATGTTGCTTAAGTAGATAAATAGCATAATTAATTAGGGGACAATCAATAAACGACATTTTCGATTTAGCAAGAATTACTTAGCATTACTTTTAAAAAATTGTCAAAACTTCGAGAAAGAAATTGTAAAATAATTACCTGTTGTTCTACTGCCGTGCATGTTCTTGGACCGAGTTTCTGTTTTAACGTTAGTGTATAGGTAATAGTTCTTTCAATTTTACTAGAAGTTTCTAACTGATTTAAACATTCTGAGGGACTAGACCACTTAAATATTGGCCATGGAGATTGAATCATTCCAAATGTACCACGATGTTCACTGAATCGAGAGAAGAATTCCGAATCCGTGAAAATACATTGAAATAAGGCGTTAACATTCAATGGAATGTCAGTGTTTGTATACACTCTACCTGGATGATCGTGACCTGGACCACATGTGATAGGAGGTTCCGTAGAGCTTACTACAGATGTATCTGGAAGTGACGGGTCCTGAGTATTCAAGTAATTAAGTTGCATTAGTTTTGAACTAGATACTTCATCATGATGGTGAGATCCGAGACGCTTTTTTCGCGTACGTTTCTTTTTCTCTTTTACAGATTTATGAGGCACTTGAAAGCTATCTGACATAACTTCATTAGGTGTAGTTCCTGATGTTAAATGACATTTAACTTCAGGGGTAGGACAACGTTTGATAGTGTTTAGTTGTTGAGACTGTGGTTCATCCCCAATTGTACTGAAGTGACTCGGATCTGAAAAGGATGGAACACGTTTAAAAGGAATATCAGCATCGGATACAACTTTTAATTCATCATCCGTAGTTCCTAGTACGGAACATTTAGAAGAGCGATCGAGATTAACTGGTTGATCCGAATGGCACACATCTTCAAGTGAAGCCGACTTCGATCGACCAGTGAGTTGTGAAGACAGAGATGAATCGGATAAAGTTCGCGGCTGCATGTGATGAATACAAAAAGAAAATTGGTATATACATACATATATATATACGAAAAAAATCATAATGGTGATCATGATTTGTAATGAACTAATACAAATGAGTAGAAAATCTAAGTTTGAAAATTAATGATTTTCTAGTAGATTTAAAAGTGGTTTTCAAAACAAACAAATTCTACTTGTAACAAGTTTCACATGAAACTGTGTATTTTCAACTATAGTCGTTGTCATGCTATGGGTTTAATAAATCTTCACTTGTACCAGTTTTGGTGATCTTATTTCGCGTCATGGGAATTGCAAAGGTTCCTCGTTTTACAAGTATAAATAATAAGCGATTCCAATATAACAATTAGCAGCAACTAGTCATAACATAAACCTCATATTGATTGATAAGAATTTGATTAACAAACGAACAATTATCATTTCAATTTACATAAATAGGAACTTTCAATAGTTTTTTTTAAAATAAATTTTTTAGTTGATATCATTCTCTGATGATGAAAACAAAAACTATCCATAAACTATTTATGATTTTTAACATTAAACCATTTCATATTGAGTCCAGTGTAACCGGAAAATAATTATGAATAAACCTACTGATTGAATTAATATACAAAACAAATTGAAACAAAAAAACATAACTCTAATTGAGAATAATAATAATAATAATAATAATAATAATAATAATAATAATAATAATAATAAGTTAACCATTTTCATAAAAAACCCCATAATCCATGTGACTTCCGACTGATTTCAAATGAGTATTTTTATACTCTTTTTTTTTGTTTTATATGGTCAAATTACAAATGAATAAAACAATGATGGTTTAAACAAAACAAAACAGAACAAACAGTGTGTAAACAATGTTTAAAGAATTTTATAAAAAAAGAATTACTTAATACATTTTCAACATAGAGACAATGAACTAGATTTGTAAGAATACATAATAGAGTTGAATGAAGCATCAAGAGATTTATTTGTAACTATATGTTTTAATATTGAAAAAACAAAACATGATAGTAAAGAATAATGAAATTATGAAAGTTCATAACCGATTATGTCTCTAAATAAAATTATCACTGGTTTTCATAAGAATATAGTAGACGAAGGTTTATTTGACAATTTAAAATTATTGCATTTAAATACTTTAAGAATATTGGAAATATTTTATTGATGACATAAAGTAGGATAACCAGATGAATAAACACAGATTACCAATCTGTAAGTTAGATTTAACCTTGTAAACAATTAATTTTTTAAAAAATGTGTAATCTACTGATGCTGATGAACTGTCCAGTACAATAAAAAGTTATAACAGGTAACTAAAACTTCGTAGTGGGAAACGATTACCTTATAAATGGATTATCAGAGTTGAGTCCTAAACGAGGCCCTTTTTGTGAAGTAATTTATGTCATTGACCTAGTGAAGAAAAGTGAACTTGATAGTTAGATAGTTTGATTTACAATCATAAAGTCATAAATTCAGGTCTGAATTCCACTTCATTACTGTTTGAGTAAGTGACTAGGTGAATTAAAGGTTAAACAAATAGAATGGTTAAGTACAATATTTATTTAAACACAAACAGTGGTACAAGGAGGCACCAAATATATGCGATATACACATCATTCGATTTGTGTGAGGGTTGGAATACTGCCCGCGCGCTCAAAACGAAACAAGCGGTTTTCTTAGGCAGCCCCTCCTCGAGCCTTTGACCTAGAGGTCTGATCCACAAGGCAGTGGAGCAACGTTAAGAGATGCAGTGCCATGGTAGCTGGTGACCAACAATAGGTTAATACACCAATTGTCCTCTCTGGATCGTGGAGCTCATGTACACCACAGGTTTGAAACCACAGTTTTACAACTCACCCAGGTAGATGAAAGAATCAGTAAACGCTCAGCTTCTAGATCAACAGGTCGGATTCTGTAACGATCGGTCGTGAAAAGACCGAATCGTGACACTATGGATCATCGTTGAACGACCAGTTGAGTGGAATTCGTCACTATACCTCAACTTCTTTGACTACGAGAAAGCACTTGACAATGTGGATAGGAGAACATTATGGAACCTTCTTCAACACTATGGTGTACGTGAGAAGATCGTCAACACCACAAGGGATTCATACGACGGATTACACTGTAAAGTCGTGCATAGAGGACAGCTAACAGATATGTTCCAAGTGAGGATCGAAGTCAGACAAGACTGCTTACTGTAGCCCTTACTCTTTCTTCTGGTAGTTGACTGGATTATGAATAATATACAGTTACTTCTTACACTTGTCTCCAGTTTTACTGATTTTTCATCAGATATCTCACAGTCTGAACGTCTTAAAGGTGAATACATAGAAAATATTTTATTTCATACAACTTATGTGTTCTTATCTAGGTATATAATAACAACGCTTTATGCTAAGTTTCCTCAAATATACGTGTTTAACGTAAAAATCATGCACAAATGTAACAGTTAGTATTTTAAAAAATACTCTTCCACCGTCTGAAAGAGTTACTAGTTAGTGAAGATTGTATACAATCATTCCAGTTAAGCTAGAAAACAGATTTCACAACAGATTGTTATCAGCTGAGAAATTTCCAAAATATGTTTTACCTTAATTCAACACCCTAAAGCAAAAGATACTCACAAAGTTATATAGGAGAATTCATCATTGGATCCCAAATTATTAACTCAATAATATCGTTTCCATCAGGCAATCTGAAAGCTTTATTTTCAATCTTATGTACACATGCTATTGAGCTAATTCAAATTAAAGCATAGTGATTATTCAGTAAGCATAGATATTTACCATTGGTTTAATCGGAATCAGTGCCAGTGATTGGAACACTTTAAACAACCGTTTATTTGAATAAAATTCATGTTAATTCCAATACGATATGATGTATTAAACATTATTAATCTTCTTTTAGTTATCTTTAGAACTGCAAACTTTCCATTGATTTATTTTATGACAAGTCAAATTGTTATCACATTATTATAAAACTGTATTGTGCTGATAGTATACACTATTAGTACATATCAGATTAATTTATATTCTGCACATTAAACAATTTAAATTCCATTATTATTATGTTTAACATCAATTACTCGGTGAATTGTGTTTGTTGAAAAGAATCTTTAAACCGTCTATCATCATTTCACAACAAGGGAAATAAGCTACAATGTTAAAACACTGTGATTTAAATGGCTACATTAACAAATAAAATCGATAAAGTTCGATTAACACTAAGAAACCGATAACAATGATTACCGTTACACAACCTTAAATATATGATTGATGAGAAGAATCACTGTTTGAGGTTATTTGTTATTTTTAAAAATAAATAATATGGGTGCATAAATTTTAATCTGATATATTATCATCATATAGCGCATTTGTTTATGTTAACTATTCGAAAGACCATATATTAGATTAAGGCTAACATTGTTCGAAGTGACCTTATATCATATTGTGTAAGTAGACATATTGTTTAATAATTCACTTTAAAATTTCTTTATAATCTAAATAATTCGTTGTGTGTTATTCAAGTTAAGACATCCCATCAATTTGTATGTTTTCAATGTTTATTTATATGAAATATTCAAAGTTTAAGCATTTAGTTGAAATACGCAATACACAAGCTATTGAGAAATAAAATGGAAATCAAAACGGCAATCTAGATTATTTTGTACGTGTACGCAAACCTATGATTGCATGATTTAAATGAGACTGGACAAAATATCTAATTAGTTTAACACCAAAGCAAACTCTTTTAGATAACTATGATAAAAATAGGATGGCGGTCCAATATTAGCAGTGAGATTGACTGAGGTCTTAGGTAGAATCTGGGGACTCGATGTAATCCCATCTGACTGGTCTCAATCACTGATTGTGCCAGTCTATAAGAAAGGATAAAATTCCTCTTGCAACAATCGCAGAGGAATCAGTTTCACTAATATAGTGTCTAAAATATTAGCTTCAATCATACTTCGACGCCTAACTAAAGCTCGTGAAGAGCAGACTAGAAAAATCAGGCTGGTTTTCGATCTGGACGTGGTTGTATAGACCAGATATTCACACTACATCAGGTCCTAGAACATAGACACACATTCAGACGTCCCACAATCGTAGTATTTCTCGGCCTTAAGGCTCTGTTGATCGCGAGATGATAGCGACCGATGGTTAGAGACCTTGAATAACATGGCTCAAAATCGTTTGCAATGGCGCAGGTGCATCCACTCTTTGTGTTCTCCAAAATTCTAATCTTCTGAATTCTTCATGTCTCTTTTTCTCTCTTTCCAAATTTATTTCATTGGGTTATACTCCTTGAATAACATCTTCAAACCCCAATCTTTCCGATTACTGTTTATACTTTTACTACCTCTACCACTGTGGGATTTGGATCGACAACTGCATCTCTGTGCTAATGTGGTATGGCGACTCGAACTGATGTACGTACTTACGAAGTTCTACGTTGTTACTGACTGACTGATAAACATAGTCTGCATTCATATTTAACATAGTAGCAGACAAGAAATATAATATAAACTGACGTGTGCTTAAATCTTCTCGTCAACTGATAATGAAGTTTTTAATGTAATGAAATAGTGAAGGTAGGTACTAAAAAACCCTAGTAAACTTTATTACTTTTAGTCTGTAAACGTTTTCATGTCAAAGAAAACAATGATTCGCAAATAAAATTGGGCATGTCACTAAATATGGCCACAACATTTTAGCAAGTTAATCTGAATCATCAACTTGTTCGTAGAACATTTGAACTATGGATACTGCCATCAGTTATCTTAGAAAGTTTACATTACAAAAGCTAACGATTAAAGATCAGAGCGATTTTGATGAGATACCTAGGCACATGGAAAACTCTACATACCGACACAGATTTCCAATAATGGAGATTATATGTTTAATTATGTTGTGATGTCTAGAAATTTATTCATCAGTGATTGTTTCATTGTATATGCTAGACAGATGAAATTTATTATAGGTTCTGAAGCAGTAGCGCCTGACCTTGTCGATATCATTGCGACACTTAGTATAAGGGGTGAATTCGTATTGGTTTGGTCGGTCACAGATATAACATTTATTTACATAATACAAGTGTTAGTTTTACTTGTAAGAGACCGATTCAATACAATTTAAGCTTTCTAAACAACCTTTAGCATTTAGTTAAGGTAAAAGAAAGTGTAAAGACAGATACGAAATAAGTAACACAGATCGAATGAAACAGATGATCTTCTGAGACTTGTTTAGATTACAGTACACTTGCATTTGAGATCTCAGAACTTCTATCCCCTCTGGAGTTTTGCATTTATGTTAGGTTTACAGTGATCTTTGGTGAAGAAAGTACACGACTGTCGAAGTCAATCTTTACCTGCACCACATTCTGCGACTCTATGTCACAAAACTGGACATTCTCAAGACAAGTTGACAATTACCAAAGGACAAGTCAAACCTAAAAATGTTATGAAACTAGTGATAGAGATTGTCTGATGTACTAAACAATGCCATGGTCATATAGCTAAACTTTAGTAGGCTTTTGCAAAATTATGAAACAGTAATTGTTAACATTTCTTAAATCTCATATAAAGAATGTAACTAGAAATCGGAGAGCGTGGAAACTGTAGCTACCTACAGATTACTTAAAACATTATAAATAATATAAATCATCAAGAGCCTGGGAATTAAAGAACATTTCGAAGTACATCATCAAAACAGACCTGGAACACTAAGTGCAAAACTTATATGACCGTTTTAGATAGTTGTTTGGACCAAAAAATTCAAAGCCATAAGAACTTATAAATTTCAAACTAGTATCACCAATCATAGAGTTATTCAGTGTGGGTAACCCATTTTGGATCATACGAAAGATAATTTGAACTACCATATAACCAACCCGACCATACCATTAAATAACAAAGAAGTGACTACATAAGTAGTATCAAAATAGTTACTTTTTCCAAGACAAAAACTTTGTATCCATTAGTATCCGACAAATTTATGTCGATAACAAATGAGGTATTCTTTGAGTTATAACAGAGAAAAACAAATATATAGATGGACACATACAAAGGAGAAACAGCTTTGTGGTGCACCCTGATTTTCAGCTGTTCCTTAGTTAGTACTGTTTCATGATATAAAACAACCAAAACTAATCTTGGCAAAACCTTATGTATGTATTTAGAACTAAATGACTTAGAGATTTATTTTCAAAGTTCTAGTCAGATATCAAAGATGATCAGCTTCAGATGTGTACGGAATGGGGTTGTTATATAACGATGGCATCAAATCTGACTATATCGAAGAGAAGAGAAGCTTAAAATGTAAACTATTGAGTTGTGACTCATTAGCTAAATGAAATATTTTCTTAGAGGTTTTAGGTACAATTTCTGACGTGATGATAAGTGTAAATTGCTACTGACAAGTTCCATACTAAGACGGAATACCTATCCATTGCTAATATCCCAGTTGGTATCAACTATTGACAAAAACAAGTATAATAGAAAATGTGGAACAAATAGCAACAGGAATTAACTTACCATATGAGGAAAAGTAGTCGGCACTAATTCAGCATCACCATCTGTATCTTCTTCATCTTCAACCATAGCTAAACTATAATCACCATACATATCACGTATTTGTTGTAATATTTCGTCAATACTCATCGTCTATATTTAACATATAACAATTGAAGATATGAAAAAAGACAAAATGAGAATATTTCTATACAAAATATGAATAATATAATTCACTTGAGTAATAGTACAACATCGATAAGACTTTGTTCCTTGTTGGAAAATTTTAACAAATCAATCTAGTTCAAAGAATTGTTTTGTGGTACATGAGAACATTGTAGTAGTAAACAATCTGATCGTCACTCTCTTACGTTCTAACTTAATTGTACAGTTGTGCTTCCAATGAATTAAATTGACATATCAAGCACTTTGCAGGATTAGTTAAATTATCGTAAACATCCACTAAGAGTGACTAATAAATTTGTTTGAAAGTACTATATTTTTATCAAGTAAACATTATGGTTTCTATACAAAGTAATTTTAAAAGTTGAATTCTTCACAGAATATAACTAATCTGTGACTAACAATTATGTTAAACAGCAGAAAAGTTACGGTTAACGACAAGAACTTAACCTTCGTTAATTCTATAACTTTTTCTACATGAATTGGAATGATACAAGAATCAAATTAGCTATGTACAAAATGAAGAGATTCGGTAGTAATTATCCAAGATCGTAACCATCATAGAAACATATGAAACAATTAAACAAAACATTAAAAAACTGGCATGTATGTAAAGTTCCTTTATAAGGCAACCTACTATTTTAATGAAAAGATAACTTAATTATTTACGTATTATGTGACAGATTGGCAATGGAATGAATATGTTTTTTTAAATAAAATTGTCATTTATATTGTATGATAAGAACATAATCATACAAGTTCTTGATAGTGTTAGCCAACGAACAAAAATCTATAGTTCGCGATATTTCATACAAAGATAAATAAACACACACACACACATGTATACAGATACGGAGATTGGAAAGTTAACTATTCTAATGATTATAAACATCAAAACCAACGTAGTCTGACATAAACACAGCATTAGCTTAATTAACTCTGAAATCTATTGAATTATCATAAAAGTAATTTACACTATTTTTTAGAGAACAGAAAGAATTTAATGGTGAGATTAATTGAAACATTTTCTGAATGTTCATTAAATGTGATATACCAGGTACAACATTCAGTCACTTTTCTGTTCATTCTATTTGATAAGTAAAGCATATTAGAGTGTAATATAAAATAAATATTTTATTGCAAGCAAATAAGATGTTCTATGAAAATGTTAATGTCTAGTGAGAAAGAAAAATACACTAATTCAAACCAGAGTTTGAAATGAAATATTTAACGGATATTCCTCTCTAATAATCAGCCATTACTAACTAAGTAAAAGAAATAACGATCAAAGTGCTGAATACAATGAAGTGGAAAATGTTAGGAATAACCTGAAGCGAATTTACAGCAAACAATTTTCTTACAACGAGCTAGAAAAAGCGAATCAAATTAATCTTTCATATGTATTATTTTTAGTAAGTTGTTCACAAGCGAAATAACAAACAAATAGACGTTTAATTATCAACAGAAAGTTTGAAAAGTAAAAAGTTTCTTCATAACTAATATACGCTTATTCATTTATCTATATAGTTTAGCCCTAGATAACTCAATAATTACAAGTTACTTAAAGCACAAAAACTCTTTCTGATCAGATACAAAAAAGTAATCATAAACCAGTGTTCTTTTGAGAAACTGGCTTCAGCTGATTGCTCGAAAACTGTATCACATTATCATTCACTACAAAAAAAGCTATGGGCAATATGTCCTTAAAAAAACACTCCAAGAGTTTGATGACACTACTAGTTTCATGTAAAAACAAGATAACTAATTTTATTATTTGTTCAATAGACGAACATGATTAATATTAAACCAAAGGTCAGAAATATCAGTAATGGTATTCAAATCTTGAGCTTATCATTCGATAAACTGATAATCCTTATCTCTATTGAGTCTAGAAAAAGTAATCTTTTTAGTACGTATACGTGATAATTAATTCTTTGTCTATATTTTCATTAATTAATCACACGGTGGTAAGAAATGTCATATATCTCTAGTGTTTAGTGCTGACTGAATCCAAGTTACAACATAGCCACTAGTCCAAGTGATTAAAGGCGATTAACAGGAAGCCAATTACCCAGGTTTCAAGCTATTTGACGTACCTTACAAAGGATATACTTGCAGTCTAAACGGAATTATTGTTCCACATGGAATAGGGGCCTATATTATCCTGCTTTACAATCACATGCGATACTAGACAGCTATTCAGGTTACTTTGAATCTCAGGTCACATAACACTGCATCCTTTGTATGTTCTTTATTGTTAAGATTTTAATTGGAATATATGTCTTAAAATTGATTGAGATTAAAAAGATACGCTCAAAGCATCTATAGGATTTTTCTAAACAAAGGTAGCAAATAATTCAGGCTGAAATTAACACAATTCACTGTTTTTCACGATGAAGTTGCATAACCAGTAAACCTGTTAGATATAGAGCACAAACTAGAAAGAAAATCTATGGAGTATGTAATTTTAGAAATTTTAACTAAATATCTATAATGATACACTATCACTTCAACTACAGATCTAATAGATTCGGTATCGACACATTACAATCATGTTGGATAATGTTCCTGAACTATTTTGGATAGAACACAAATCACAGGATCAGACGAATTGATAAATCTATATGGAAGCGATCAGGAATAAAAATCAATGCCTGAGAACTGATACGAATTTACTGTAAGGTGATATACCGCAGATAAAAAATAAACGTTAGTTTTAACGATCAACATGGTGAATCAGTTCTAATAAACACTATAACTGTGTAAGTTTCAGTATATGAATTGTAATAACAGAATACGTGATAACTAAGACAATACCTGTCTGTCTATTCAAACCCAAGCCGATGTCTAAATCTGGAACTTACAGTCCAAAGTCAAGTTCCTTAACTGTTAAGTTGTTTAGTAACTATTATGTCAGTCAAAAGTATAAAAATGAAGAGAATTTCAGACGACCAAGAGAAATTACACAACACAGCAGAAATACGACTACTGAACATAAATTTAGTGAATGTTCTGAAAACAAGATACACAGTCATTGCACAAGCTATAAACATTAATACCAAAAAAAAGAAAAATTCACAATCTAGGTTGACTCCATGCCACTCCTCCCTCTTATTCATTTGTCGTTAATTAGTTACAGTTAAATAATTTAGTCAAGAAGATACGTATAATATAAAAATGGGAGGATTTCAAGTTTCCATCACACTGGAAAATAGAAAAAACAGACACAGAACTAGCGAGTACGAAATAGCGTGGAATATAAGAATATATATATATATATGCTGAGAATAACACCGGTAATTTCTAGTAAATTGTGCATTAGTTAACTATATTCCACCATTTTGTAAGCAAAACTATAGCTGACATTGACAAGTTTCTCACTACAAAATACGTTTAGTTTCAATGTCACCACAAACTGTAGAGCGTTAGCCAAAAAGAAAAACAGTTATTAGTGAGTTTTAGACATTGAAAAACAACTAACAACTTTACAAGTTATAGTTGAAAGACTAAACTTTTTTTGTAAATCTGAATAAAATTCAGAGCAATTGAGTTAGAGACGAGAAAAGTGTATATTTTTTAAAAGTTATTTACAAGGAACAGGAGAAAAAAGTTAGAGAGAGGAAGAAACATGTAGTGTATGGATAAACTCAATCTATCAACACAATGTTAGACTGCAAACGACAATAATAATAATAATAGCAACAGGCATAGCTTACCTGATTTATTTGTACAAGTGTCTTGTGTTTTCACACCGGGAAAAGATAAAGATTTCGATATTAATGACTAAGAGACAAGTATTTCATGTGCTTTAAAGAAAAGACTATTTATTAGATTACCAATGAACCGATGTATTCATTTCTATGTTTACAAGTATATATGTACATATGTACCGGTAATATATATGATTAGAGAATCAAAACAATATGAAATAAATAAGGGGATTCAGGCGCATAATTACTGTTGACTAAATCAAAGATTGTAAACACTATGGGTTGCTTCTTGAAAAAAAAAGCATCATCATTTACTTATCCACTGTTCATTATAATTGGTTGAAAAATTCAATTTTTTCCTATCGAAATCATTAAAAAATAGTCGAAAAATCCAAATAAGGAAGTGGCAGAAAGCAAAACAGTTATCGATCGACGGTACTTTCTATTAATTGAAGTTAAAAACAACATCGAGACCCTACTCCACTTAATTCAGTTTCAGTAACCAGATAGAATTATTTTAACCATATTAAATAAGTTTTATGAATCAAAATTGAATGAATACGTATAAATATGTGGCAAAACCGTGACGATACATAATTCATAATTCTTTTAAAAGCACATAATAATTTATAATTTAATGTAGATAGAAATTGCAATAGTTCTTTAATACTAATTTATTTTCAATGTGGGGGGTTGTGCGGTGTGTTGATTTTTTGCATTGAAATCATTAACCAATCAATGTTAAACCACGATTAAAAAACTTGAAGCAGTAGATGGGCGTCTCGTCCTAGTACGGGATTTTCCAGCAGTACGTATCCACGACCCTTCAAGCGTGAGTCGAACCTAGCACCTTTGATTTCACGCACAAACATGTAACCTTTAAACCCCTAAACCGGGATCCAATATAGTGTAAATGTCAAACTTCAACCAATCCACGATATTGCGCGATTATCTACCAATTTTTTCAGTGGGTTTGTTTATTTTATTTTTCTAGTTCAAATTTGTCGGTCGTAAATTTCAATACTCGAACATTATGACATACAGAATACCATCGAAGAAATCTATGTATACTGAGTAGGATCAAAGTGAAACTGGTATAAAGCGGACTTGTGACATCATAAATCACTATGAGTTTGTTTTATGAATGAATAAGAAAAAAGACACTTTATGGAAGTAAAAATATTTGACTCCATTAAGTTGATTAATAAAACAAGTAAAAGGATGTAAACAGATCTCGACCCTATAAGTTGACCAAGTATATTAAGCATATAATTCTCTGAATGGTATAAATATAACCCGATCAACGAGAGTTTATTTGATCCACCATTCATCAGAAAAAATAAAACACATTTGGTTTATAATAGTATTTCCAAATGACATCCCTTCACAATAAACAACTACAGTTGAAAGTCATTAAACTATGTTGAGTGAACATATTTTTACATTTCACATTTTAAGATGTTCACACTTCATAATATAATATGAAAGTATTTAGAAAAAAATTATTAATATAATCATTTGTTTATATAATAATCTTGTTTACATTATTATATTTAGCTTTCAAGGCTAATTTCCAGTGGAAAGAGTTATCAAATCCAGGACATCTATTTCCCATTACTGTATATTAGAGTAAAGCCTGACGAGGATCTAATCGAAAACAATATTGAATTATTAGGTAATTCACTCCGAGATAATCCAAACTATTTCAAACTAAACAGAATGCATGGTTACGTTTTCTCTACAACTAATCTCTTGATAAGAAATATAGATGGAAGAAGACAGGAATACCTTATCAACAATGTAATGCATACATATGCAGTAAATTACCATATAATTTATCATATGAATATAAAAATGATCTACAAATTAAAAATGGATGAAATTCACATGAAAAGTGAATTGCCATCAGTGAAAAAAGTGTTAAAGGAGTGAAGAAATTCTAGTACGGGAATTCAGCCAATTTACGGATACAACAACGTAAGTAACCATAAATATGAGGAATATTAAGTTTTACTAAGAAAATGCATTCAAACAGTAAGGGGTAATACTTGAAAGGTATTGTTCAGTATAACAAGTAAACATCTAAATACGTAATAGGAGTAAATAATAGTAGATACTACCATTCACTGTGTAAGCTCATATTGTCAATTTTCAGTTTTAAATTTGTATTGATGTCATTTCGCAATAATATAGTTTTCTTACCATTATCAAGTCATTTACAGTGGACTTATTTATTACGTGAATAATAAGCTTACCTAATAAAGCAAACATAGAGCTGTGGTAGAAAGAAAAACGAAAATAAACCGAAGACTAACAGTTACTAATTAAAACATATATCCTTAAGTCTTTCGCACACTTTACCTGATGATTACGACAATTTTCCCAAACTTTGCGTAATATTGCATAAGATCGTTCTCTGGAAGCGAATGATGTGAAGAAAAATCGTTCATGATTTTTAGAATATAAAATTTGGATTGCATTTGGTATAACACGAGCGGTTTTCTCTTTGGTAATTGCAACGATCTCATTGACGGCCAAAAATATCTAAAATTATGATGAGCAATAAATATAAATGTGAAAACAAGAGATATTCACTTCTTAAGGAAGCATAATCCAAAAATCATAATAGTATATTTAAATATGAATAACAGATTAACTGTTTGTAAGATCCATGACGCAAACCACCGTACAAAATATTCACCGCACTAAACAGAGATTCACAAGTCAATTCTACGAGGACATTTTATTCAGGTGACGGTTATGTTTTTCACTTTTTAGGATTACTTATTAGGCCAGAGCTTGTACAAAATGAAATGAATCAGATAAACGAGTCAGCTGTATGATGTAAAACTGTAATCTTTGATATCCAAGAAATTTGATTACATACAGATGATTAGTTAATCAATTTATATGCCACAATCTGATTAACAATGTACCATTACTAATATTCAACACTTAAATACAGAAACGAATTGGTTTACACTTATACATAATCATTACTCACAGTATAACAATTCAGCATGTTACATTATAGACTAGTCATTAGATATGCATAAATTAACGTAACATCCAAACGTCGACAATAACGTTTATTGAACTTCTATTTTGCATATATATTAAATATTTGTTTACTGTTCACACTCAACCCCATTACTTTTTCTCTAATGAAAGCACCATTCCGAGAACAGGTAATATTGATTGTTTTCGAATAAATCAATATTCATTTGAAAAACCAATTAAACTGACAAGATTCAATGTCATATATAAGGCGATCATACTATTACTAATAGTAATCATAAAAAACCATAGAAAACCTCAATAAACCAGTAGAAAAAAATCAAGTATGTATATAAATATATATATAAACACTGAACTGTCAAAAAAAGCCCAGTGGAGATCAGATGACCAGAAATCAATGCATATAATTGACCTCAATCAATAAATGGAGTGCATTTAGAATTCTGTTTCTTGTGAAAAACAGTAAATAATATATTAACCTAAGTAGTTCACAAGTATTACAAGTACAACAATTGTTTTCTAAATGATGTTTTTCCACAAAAAAGAGAATAGATAATTGTGTTAAATGGACTAAATGTGAACGACCAGCAGTTCGATGAAGTAAACAGCAACTATAAACTCAAATAACTCTACCTGTAGCTCTTCTATGGTTGCTGCCGATCTCAAGACTGGGTAAAAGAAGAGGGTTGTACATGAGAGCAGCGACCTCATCCCGTAGGAAAACACCTTTTTGAAAAAATGCTGACAGGAACAAACAAATTAAACTATTTGAACTCTACCCTCCGAGTTGAAGGATCATCATTTATAAGAGTTATGACGCTTCATGGTGAAAGCCGAGATTCTTCGGAAGCAACGAGGCTGATGTCCTTTTCTAACAAATAGAGTAACAATTAATATAGGTACATGGAATACCCGGACAATGTGAGATATGAGGATGACCAATCGAATAGTTACGGAAATGAGAAGATACAACTTGATGGTGCTCAGAATAAGTAAAACACATTGGATCCAAGCTGGACAGCAAAAGCTAGATTCGCTTAGGGTGCCGCTGTACTTTGGTCACGAAGAAAATATGCCGCACAACAACAAGGTGGTTACTAAGATGAGACTGAAGAAGCGGAAAAACAGCACTACAAAACAGTCTTCCTTCGAGGTACTGACAAACTCAACGAATTCAAGATAGCTCTCAACAACAGGTTCTAAGCCTTACAGGATCTATTGAAGGAAGAAGAAACTACTATGAAGGACAACAGGAAGGGTATCAAAGAAGCATTAACTTCAACGTGTCAGGAGGTTCTGAACCGCAAAAGGCGTCATCATAAGGAATGGATCTCTATCGAAAGAAAGAACAAAGGGACAGCAATTAACAGCAGCCGAACAAGAACAGAGGAAGTCAAGGCACAAGCTGAATGCACAGAAGCAAACAAGCAAGTGAAGAAGAGCACTAGATCTGACAAGCAGGAATACGAGGAAGACCTAGCAGCAACAGCGGAAAAAGCTGCAAGAAAAGGGAATAAGAAACAATTGTATGACACAACGAAGAAACTGGCAAGGAGATATAGTAAACGAGAGTGACCGGTTAAAGATAAAGAAGGCAAGACAATCACTGAGATTGAAGAACAGAGGGACAGGTGGGTAGAATACATTGAGGGATTCTTGAAAAGGTCGCCACAGTGAACTCACTGGACGTCGAACCTGCACACACAAACTTTCCTAGAGATGTTACACCACCAATGATCGAAGAAATTAGGATAGCTATTGGACAAATCAAGAGTTGGAAGGCAACAGAGCCAGAAAATATACCAGCTGAGGCACTGAAGTCAGACAGAGAAATAACTGCGAACTTGCTCGACGTTCTATTCAGGAACATTTAGAAGTAAAAACTACTGCCCACAGATTGAAAAAAAAGATATCTCACGAAGATACCAAAGAAAGGAGATCTGAACAGATGTAAGAACTACAGAGGAATCACACTATCGTCGGTACCAAGAAATGTTTTTAAGTGTTGCTGAACCGGATGAAAGAATCAGTAAACGCTCAGCTTCCAGATCAGTAGGTCGGATTCCGTAACGATCGGTCATGCACAGGCTAATTCTAGACAATACGCATCATTGTTGAGCAATCGATTGGATGGAATTCGTCATTATACATCAACTTCCTTGATTACGAGAAAGCGCTTGACAACGTGGATAGAACATTATGAAACCTTCTTCAACACTATGGTGTACCTGAGATCGGCGAAATCACAAGAAATTCATACGACAGACTACACTGCGAAGTCATGTGTAGAGGACAGCTGACAGACAGGTTCCAAGTGAGAACCGGAGTCAGACAAGGCTGCTTACTCCCCCACTCCGCTTTCTTCGGGTGGTTGACTAGATTATGAAAACCTCCACATCTCGGAAGAAGTACGGAATAAAATGGACAGCTTGCATGAAACCAAACGATCTGAACTTCGCAGACGAGCTGGCCCTTCTAAAACCATACACATGAACAAATCCAGATCAAGACAACCACTGTAGAGGAAGCCTCTGAAGCAGTAGACCTCGACAAACACAAGGGAAACAGTAAGATCCTGAAATACAACACAGAAAACACCAACACAATCATATCTGATGGTGGAACTCTGAGAGACGTGAAAAATTTCACGTGCCTGGACAGCATCGTCGATGAATAAGGGGCATCTGATATTGATGTGAAAGGTAAGCACTGGCAAGTTAATGGCCACATTCCTACAGTTGAACAACATATGGAATTCAAAACAACTGTCAACCGACATCAGTCACAATCTGTAATACGAACGTCAAGACAGTTCGTGCTACTATAACGGAGCTGAAACTTGGAGAACTAACACAACTATCATCATAAAGGTACAAGTATTTATAAACAAGTTTCTACGCAAGATACTCAATGTCCATTGACGGGATTCCATCAGCAACAGCCCACTGCGGGAGATAACAAACCAACTTCAAGCTGAGAAGGAAATGAAGAAGACGTTGGAAGTGGATAAGACACATATTGAGGAAATCATCGAACTGAATCACGAAGCATGCGCTAGCTTGGAATCTTGAAGGTAAACAGAAAAGTGGAAGGCCAAAGAACACAGCGCCGACAAGTTGAAACAGACAGGAATAGGATAAATAGCAACTGAAAAGGATTGCCCAGGACAGACTTGGATGGAGAAAGTTGGTGGGCGGCCTACGCTCCTCCACGAAAGTTAACAGGCGTAAGTAAGTGAGTAATTAGCTCAAATGGATTTCATTCACTTCAACCTAATTAGGTTAATGTGATCAGGTAATATAATAATTCTTCAAACAATAGATAAAGCTCAAATCAAATTCAGCAGCTTTATATCGTAGTCAGTGTAATGTGTCAAAGACGATGAGTAAACATATGCAGTTGGCAAATATGTCATTTACCTAAATAGATGACAGTTTACAGACTTATCATCAGACGCATCATTTCTATCTAGTGACCTACAACTGATCACAATATTACCAACTCAGTGGTCTCGCTAAACTTGAATGACACATATAGTCAAATACTTTGTAGAAAATTCTTTATTATCATGGATTATATTTGTACAAGAAAAAACGTATGCACTCTTTGATACGTTAAACGAACTTGTTCAACATTCACATCAAATTAACTCAAAGTAAATTATTAAGACCTCTATCCAGTATGAGTAGTTTGTATGATATAATAACGCTAACGGCATATATTCTTTGCAAAATATATGGCTGATATATCTTTAATTAAAAATAATCCCAACTTGTAACAATATACTTAATCCCAAACCCATTGTTTAAGACATCCCCGAACATCCTCAGAAGCTAGGCTTTTAAGAAGCTCCGTTGTTTCATATTTTTTCGGAACACAAAATATTGTGCACAGACGATTTATCTAAATTTCAGTTTATCAGGAATCATTCAGACACTGTACAAACGGTAGAAAATCCGAATATTTGATGTTCTTTAAATCAAAAAAGGTGTCCGAAGTCGTTATAACTTTGGATCATTCTATCACTCTCCACAATCATCGACGAAAAAGTTCAATTCACCTGAAGAGAGTTATCCTCTTCATAATGACTTTAATATTTCCTGGGTTTTTCTCGAGTTCCAATGAACATAGAAGCAGTTCAGTTTGTGTATTTATTCAACACAGCATATATGAATTTTCTTTATAAATATTCTAATTAATCCACTCAATCAAAGATATACTACACTTGAAATGATACAATAAATTTATACTGTCTTAAACGTTTTTTTTTCTAATAACATCATTTTTGTTTTAAAGATTTAACTGAAATAAATAAAAACTCATGCATCAGTAGTAGTATATAAATGAAAAATAAAATTACTTTCTGTTCGTATAGAATTTTTGAGTAAAAGCACACCCATGTTTCAGTAATGTACATTCGACCTTGCAGTAATAGACCATTATTATTCTTGGATAAAGCACATGAATAATCTATTAAAACAATTTTGAAAAACAATGAAAAAAAAGAAACAATAGAGTCATACACTTCAAATAAGAAAAACTATGTTATACCGTAATGAATTAAATTACAATAACTTGCTTTGAATAAAAAGATTCAAAGAAAGAAATGTATATGAATATGCTAAAATTATGTACACACATATATATGAGATCATACCACTTTTAACAATTTTATCTATGAATATATGTATGCTTGTAAATTTTTGTGAATAACTACTGAAAATGTAGTCAGATACAATTTAGGAAGAAAAAGATAATAATGGATAAGTAATTTATGTGGTTGATGTTGTAACTGAATAGTGGCTCTTTATTATAACTGAGGTCGAAATTGCTGATATGACTAGGTGGGAAGAAGGCAAAACTGAAGACGAAAGTTTGACAATGTACTAACGGTAAATCCACAAACGATCAACCACCACTAATTAACAGCTATATCGACATGAGATTCAGTTGCATACAATTCAATTATCTGAACAAAGTCAATCACGTAGAATTGAGTAGTAATTGGCATAAATCAATCAATAACCTAGTGGATATATGTAACCTAAAACATTAATAAACTTAACTGACTCAACAAACCACTAATGAGTTACATATTTGCCCCTTTTAACAGTTGTTTTTATAATTAGTTGAATAGCAGGGAAGAAACTGAAAGCTAAAAAGAACTGGATGGCTCTTCATTCTAATTTAGGACATTTCATAAGTCTACATCCATAAATTCATAGACCAATTAGTCTAATAACCTAACCATCACCCCTGAATACCAAAAGTGATATATATCTGTCGTATTTGGTACGTGGTTTTCCAATCATGGTTTGATAGTAGATTCTGAAGCCAGTAACTTCATTAATTTGGAAATTCGAACTTCTAATTTTCAGCTTAATGTTTTATAAATATACTATACTCATCGTAGAGCATATAAGTATTCATTTTGATATCATGTGATAGATAGCGTAAGGGCATTTCCGGGAATTCTTACACAAAAACAAAACAGTTAACTTAGTGCCACCCGATTTTTAATGATTGACCAGCTAGTACCACCAGTGGATGATAAAACCAATTCTGAACATTCTGCGACAATTCCTTATCATAGCAATACGGACTTACTGTCGACAAATCACATAAGGTCGTTTATTTTGCTTTTGCTTCTCTTAATATTGTTGCTATATGGTTTCTCCATCTCTTAGTAAAATTTGAGAACTATATAGTAAATACTTCATTTGGACAATGCCCATCAATTGTCCCAGACCCTATTGTTCCTTCATTTCCATACCAATCACTCTTTGATCTCTTTCCCTTCTCTTCGAACTTCTCAACCTTCTACCGTCAAGCATTCCACATTCGATTGGTGATACATACTACTTATACCTGTTGACATCAGTAGCACACATCACACTTGGAGTGATGCGCTATTTTATTTCATTCCTTACGGTTTTATTAATTCATCAATCTATCTCAAAAAGACTTTTCTGTAGTTAAAATAAGCAAGTGGGATACTGCATCACAAGATATTCTGTAACGTGCTTAAAGATTCAAGAAATCACAAAGTAATTTACAAAATTGAAATCGGCCTTTATCTTTCCAGAATCTGAATACAATAAAAGAATGTCAGTATGTTTCGGTACATGGATTGCAAATGAAACATATTGAAACAATATTACTAACTCTATAAACTTTCGCAAATAATATACTGTTTGCAATGTTGCATAACAGTATTCAATTAATAGCTGAAACCCAATTTTCATATTACTAATTCTATCTACTGACCTTTGATCTTGGAGTAATATGATGTTTATAAGGTATCTGGTAAAAATTGTAAAGATTTATTTCCAATAAAAACGTTTTTACTTAAATTCAGCTATAGCTCAGTAATGTATACACATCTGAATGGGTTTTGTGGAGAGTTTTAGAAATTTCACAAGTTGCTCGCGCGCGAAGCCAGTAGGTCCTGGGTTCGAGCCCCGCGTGGTGCGGGATCGTGGATGCGCACTGCTGAGGAGTCCCATACCAGGACGAAACGGCCGTCCAGTGCTTCCAGGTTTTCAATGGTGGTCTAGCTTCAACTGACTCATGATTTCAACTTGTGAAGTATACACATCTCTCTTATAGCAGTTCTTATTAAATAAGTTCATTATCAAAAATGTTTATTGTCTTACATTAACTTATTTCCCAATGATGTATGCAGAGTATACTTAATAAATTGGAACAACGATCAGGTGTTTCAATATAGTATCAATTAGTATCAAAACATTTTTTTCCTAGGACGAAAAATAACTCCAGTCCCAAGAGCTTGTCAAATTTGCTCTCAATTTCAGATTTCACTTCACTGTATAAAACCAAGGTTGGGCAAATTTTCAACTTTTAATTTACGTAGAATCTTGGATTTCAAAACCTAACTATTTTATAAGAAGAGAGAGAATTTTCACGCACTCAGAACAACGAATAGAAACTTGCACAATTAACTCAATCCAGTTGACGGTCACTTCATGATTATAACTATCTTTGAAATTCCCAGAAAAGTTAGTAATTAAACTAATAATCTTTGAAAGGCATTTTGCCTATGAAAAAAATCATGTTTCTCAATGGACAATGTTAAATATTATCAGTTAAGTTGAAAGGGTGAAATTATTACAAATCAATTACTTTTTCTGCTGAGCAAACATGATTATTGTGGTACACACATTTCGATTATTATCATTATTATTATTGTAATAAAAATTTTCAAAACCATATAAACCTACAAGTGACCTGGATAGATATAAGGAGTAAGTGACAATCGTATCCATCAATATAACCCATTTACCTATTACAGATTTCATCCTTCCGGGTTAATCAGTTGTTCAAACTAGAAGTGGGATGCGTTTTGAAATTATCGATTAGTGTAGGTAGCATTATCAAGTTTTAACTATCGAAGAAACGGAACATAATAATAAAAATAGTGACGTAACTTTCGATAATGCGATGAGAAGACGAAGGTTATCAGAATTATGTGATATATTTGCGCAATACATTTCGAACAAACTGATCACACATATACTTATTGCTGGCTGTGTTTATGGAATATGTTGAAAATCTAGCTGAAGACTCAATTCAAAAGATGTGTCTGTATAAACGGTACGTTGATGACATCATTATCATAGGGGGTAAACGTGAAGATTTGAACCATCTGTTAAAAGAACTTAACACAAGTCAAAAACATATTTTTCTTATATGCGAAGAAAAGAACAACCAACTTTCTTTTCTAGACATACTGATTAGTAGAAGAGATTATGGTTCCATCCAACGTTCTATATACAGAAAGCCAACATGGACAGGGCAATATCTTAATTTCCAATAGTCACTGCCCAATTCATTACAAACGTGGATTAATAAAGGACTTATTCAATCGTATTTGTACTAGTGATACTATTGAAGTAGAGACGAAGCTATTGACTGATACGTTAATGAATAATGGTTATTCTTTGAAGTTCATAAACCGCTGGAACGGTTGCGATACGACTAGACCTATGACGCTTCTGGCACCCAAAAAGCGAGTTTACATTATGTTACCATTTAGAGGCGACTCAAATAGTCTCGTGTTGAAACGGAGACTTAAATCAGCCATTAACAGGAAATTTTATGCAGCCCGACTTGTCATTAGTGAAAATACGAGGTCTATGTTTCACCAAAAGCCCAAACAGCACGTAAGCGATTGCGTCAATCAATTTACATGTATGTGTGGAAACACGTGCATAAAGAGGAGCAATCGTGATCTGCAAGTAAGGGTGAGTGAACACATTAAAATGGCTACAGAAACAAATGAATTCCAATGGTCGAATGAAATCACAAGATAGACAGACGAAATATTTATTTGCTCTGAAGAAGTAACTTACAACACGAAATCGCGAAGCGTCAGAAACTTAGTTTTCTACTCATTGGGATACCACAGTTATATCCTGTATTTTATTTTTACAAATTGATAGATGAAAGTCAAGGATTTTCAAACTAATAAACCTCATCACTGACAAAAGAGCAAAGATCGTTAGCTGCGAGTTACGCATCTTTTTTTCATTTTAACGTTCTTCTACATAGGAGAGTGAATTTACAGCATATTTTTTAATGATATTATTACTCAATCATATACTACCTTAAATTGTTTACAATCACTCATTCAAATAGCGGATCTTTGCGATGATAATTAACAATTATATGTGCAAGTGTTATACCTTGAAACTGAGATTCAGTACGAGACCACGGCAATTGTTAATTACAAAAGGACTGAACATATCCTAATCTAAACGGATTCTGCGGTGAACTTGATAGAATGACAGCTAATACACAACAGCGCTTGAAAGTGAATAAGTCACACGATTATATGAGATAGAACAGAAGACAAATATTGAAATGAAACAACTCTGTTCAAATGATAACACCTAATAAACCATGGATACATGATAAAATTAGCAAACTAAAGATGAAAACATACAATTATATAACAGCAAAGGTTATTGTAGAAATATGAGCTACAGGTTATCCCTTACAAAAAAAATTAAGAGTTAGAAACAAAAAACTAGATAACATGATATCTTCTTAGAAGAGTGACAATGACAAAGGATATTATAACGTAACACTGCCATGCTCAGCACATTACAGTATATTAAAATAATGATCATAGAAACATTTCCTAACTCTTTGTAAAATGTCAATAGAAATAGATGAAAAACGATACAAATGTTTACAAACTGATGAATCTAATATTTGGAAAAAAATGATGACTTGAATTATCTAGTAACAAACGTTGACACACCTAAATAAAAGATTCATCATAAGACTCCCAATATTATTCACAATAAATGAAACTAACGTGACGAAAATAAAAATAAATGCTATTTGATATAAAAATAGGAATTATTGATTCTTTTCTTATAAACCTTTTAATTTTAACCGCTTTATATTAATAATTTAAATAACAGTGAATATAACCGACATCATTATTTTCATTACAATACATGATAGCGGAGTTTAAAATAATTAATAATCAATAAATTAATATGCAACTCATCACCAAGCATATATTTCTGTACTCATCAAGGCTGGTGATACTACCCGGATGCTTAAACCACGGTAGATGGAGCTGGGCTTGGATCTACAACCTAATGGATGGAAACCGAATATCTTAGGCACTATGTCATCGCCCGACTAATATGACACAAATCCATTATTTTTAAAAGAGTATACCCTGAGTTCATATAAAGAATTTCAGTTAGTCATATTAACAAATTCCAATATAATAATGAGTTACAATAACCTACCTACAAGTAGTCGTTCAGTATCAACAGGAGTATCACGAAAAATACGTCGAAATTGTTCCAATTTCGTTCGGTAGGATGGAGTTAATGACTAATTTGTATAAATATTTATTATAAGGAATAAAAAAATGGAAAGTGTCGTTAGATACATTCTTTTCAGTAAATGAAAAAACAAATAATTTGCAAAAAGAAACTATTACTTAACTGCTTTTTGTTATACTATACGATAAAACTTAGACAATTTCTATATACTTCAGATAATTAATGCATACTAATAAAATATTCTTTAGGTGAATGAGATCACGAAAAAAAATATATTTGAAAATAAAGCGGAAAAATATCTATACACAACTACAGTGATGCACAATGGTCAGCAAATAAGTGTGTAAATTACAGTTATTACTGGGAAACACTAGCGACAATAAAGCTCGCATCAAAGAGAGTCAAGTAACTTCACTTGGAGTTATATCGAGGAAAATAGGTACGTTAATTATTATTAACTATTCAAAGAATGCCACCCATTTTGAATACACTGGACTTCACAATTTGCTACCAATTGAAATATAATATACAAAACGTATTAAATAAACATTATATGGAATTAACTTTTGATGTAGATAATAATTAATCAGAAAAACTAGTTGACTATATATCAGCGAAACACAATTAATTTATGGTGGGTAAAAACTAAAAGGATTGTTGTTGTAGTTGTATACACAAAACAATAAAAGATAACTGAAAAATATCTCGCAAAAAAGGTGATTATTACTGTGCTGTAAAACACCCACTATACTGACACTGAACAGATTACTCAATGCAGATAGTGAGTCGACATCATTTTGTGAATTATAGCGACTACAGGTAATCCAGACTTGAAATTTTGAACAGGTGAAAGAAGCTTATGTGAAAATATTAATCAAATTGATAAGATAGAGATAAAATGATGATAGAAATATTTCACACAAGTACTTTACCATGTAACATTTCCCGCCAAAGTATATTTAGTGTAAGGGTGAACCTAAAATAATGGAGTTGGATTTTTAGCTAGTTTTTAGTCAATCAGAAAACAACCTTTGTAGATGAATAATCTATGATAAGAAAAACAATAATACTACAAAGTATAGACAGCTTTTACGTAATTATTCAGTCTATTGAAGTCTTTGACAGGTTGCTGTGTTTGTAAATCGAAAACTAAACTCTTTCTTACGGATTAAAGAATTGTTTTCCTAAATTTTCGTAAGGATCCAAATAGATTTTTAAGAATCCCTATATTGTCCTTGATTAGGATCAGGAGTAGAGGTTGAGTGTTATGATTTTCATTACGGTGTGACATCAGCTATGATGTAAAATACTCTGTAGCCAAATGAATGAGCGTATTTTGCTCAAAAACCCATGAAGCACTATCTGATTAGTCCATCTAGAAAATGTAATGCGACCAGGTTAAGTTTTGTTTGAAGATTAGGTGTTATTACTTAAGGATAGTACCGATTTATCTGTTATATACAGTCTGTAAGTATAGAATTGAGAATTTGATACGCTTTATAGTATTCTTTTTACTTTATGGTGACAAAAGTAATTTTTTGACATCGTTTTAAACATTTTGAACAGTTTACATAGGTATTTCTACTGCTTTTTATGGGTGCGAAAACTTAAAAGTCATATTCTCAATTTCGACTAACTTGTCCTTATAATATTCTTTTACTATAAATATGGGAAAGAAATGAATGATTTTCAAGAATTGAGAGCTAAATAATAACCAACAGAGTTCTTTAATTATTAGAGCTAATCGACATCTTCCAATCATTAGCAGTTATACTTAAGAATAATATGCTGCACTGTAGGTTAACTACACTAAGTATATGAAATACGCACATTTACCATAACAATAACAAAAAATACTCTTATTAATATGGTTAAAAGGGGGAAGAATATGAATGAAATTATTGAACGAATCTTGGTCTCTGTAGGATGACGAATTGATTCTTTTTTCAAATCAACTAGTGTCAAAATAAAATGTCAGCAAGTTGAATTGCAGCTGCGGACAACGATATATATCACATACTATTCAGAGACGTGTGCAGATTTGTTTATTTCATTACAACAGACTACTTAGCGCCGATTAGTGCACTTAGCTTGCAGTCACTTTAGATGCTAGGGTTAGTGATATTACCTAAACTAAAATAGATCGAGTGGGGTTCTAACCCTGCTGCCCAGTAATTGAAAGCCGAATCTTTTTAACTGCTAAACTCCTACTGTACGCTACAGATTAAACCGATCAGTGATTCTCTAAACTTTTATAGCATTCCATACCTTTCATTTATTACAAAGATATTTATGCATATAGGATACTAGACGAGTACACACCCACAAACAAACACGTGGATCAGGTAAACATCATAGAAGTACCAGTAACTGCAATACATACACAATAATAGACATGTGAACATGTTACATATATAGACAAGATTAGAAATAAAAATAAAATAAAACATTAAAAAGACGATAACTACCACCACTTTTCATACTGATACAGCATATCCGACTTGCAAACAGATATTTGGTAAAATGAAACCAACAAAATATACTAAAATATGTGAGAAAAAGTAAACGATTCCTTTTCTTCGGTCTTTTTGTGTTCGAGTAAATTACTACTCATTGATTATCAGGTCGAATTCTCAATTAGTTGTCATATTGAAATCTACAGTGAGATAACTATATATGATAAGTATAATGATAATGACAACAATAATCATTTCTATTGGATTTTGGAACGAATAGAATTATATTGAAAAGATTTTGTTGAAAATGTTATGAAACTAAACAAGACTTAATACGTTTTTTTAAAAATTCGAACAGAAAGCTAGCTTTATTTTATTTTTTATGCGTGTACATACATATTTGTTATAATGATCTAATACTTGAGATAATATTCAAGTTCTTTCTAAAGTCTAATTAAAATGTTATATATATATAAAGAGAACTTTATACTTGGAATGTTGAACTTTTAATGATATCCTAATGTTTCTTACATTCGAATAATTATGATAAATAAACCAGAGTTTAGTACGCTGAAAACATGAATGTAAATGAGACAAAAAAAGTAATCATAATCATTTCAGAGTAATGTGATGGTTTGTTTCTAGTGCAAATATGAAAACCATGACCGTGTTTTTAGTAGCAACTTAATTTGACTGAGTTCCATTGAATGACCGTGCCGACAAAGAAACAATTAACGCCAATCATATTTGAAAATCGTTGTCATCTCGTAAATTGATTAAAGCTGTTATACATATTATTGGGTCTAGAATCCATGAGCTAATTCGTTAAGTATTCTCTCGCTCTAGATCTGAGGACTCTTGGTTGTGAGTGTGCACCTCTGACGAGTTTCGCACCAGAACGAAACCGTTATCGAAAATGAGAATCACAAAATTTGATACATAAGATGAGCAACAAGAAATAATATAATGCTTCTTTTATATAGTAGAATATGCAATTAGGTAGATGAATTCCAAAATTTTATACTGTGGCACGACCCGCTGAGACCACTTTATTTAGCATAAATGACAGATCTAATGTGTGGATAACTACCAAAACGATCATCATGATACATGGGATTGAATATTCCATACATGCAGGTACATAAAAACAAAGGGCAGGATTAGATAATGACAAACTAAAAGAATCACCACGAAAACCAGGAAACATACGATTACAATCGAGAAACTATTAAATTTAAAGAGCAAAAGCTAGGTCATGAGTGAAACTATGCAACGGAAATCAATATATTTGTGTAAACAAATAAAAACTAGTTTTGTACAGATGAAAAATACAGGGTGTCTGAATAACTCTACAATAATTATAGTGTCGAATTGCTGAAACAAAACGAAAAAATCATACTTCCTGGTCTGAGGGATATAAAGTTGTACACTATTTAGCATTCCAGACGGAAACAGGTAGCTGGAGTGAAATTAGAATGAACAAATTAACATTTCAAAATTATTTAAAGAGTTTTAGTTATCACCTCAGTAAAAAAATAGTGTAAATGTAATACAAAAAAAAACAGATACAAATCACACAGGATATTGCCTGTTGAATTTATGGAAATGATTCTGACACAAAGAATCCCATATCAATATGAAACACTCGTCTAGTACTTTCTGATTTTCAAAATTTCAATTGTTGTACAGCAACTGAAACTTCAATATGTGAGTCAATAGGATACCGACCAATACGAACTAAACCATCGATGGAAATTGAGTTTATGCTGTGAGAACAAGCTGTACTTGGCCTTTCAATTGTTATTATTATTAATGGCGTAATATGAATGAGTATAAGAGCTACCTGGAAGAACTAAGTTTGAGCGTAGAATAAGTTACTACAAGCGCAGATCCCAGTGGCAGTAGCAAATATTCAGAAGAGAACCTTGAATATTAAGGTAGAGAAAAGTTTCATGAGAGCAGCAGTTGACCACAGATCAAATGGTTCATTTTAAGTGATCCGATAGATTAGAACAGAGATGAAGTGTTTAATATTGTCTATTTCTAAACTTTGTTCAGTATTGCACAATAATAATAAAAATGAATGGATATTCTGAATTTAATGATGAACACACAAACTGAATAATTCTAGTCGCTAACTATACAATTCAACATAGTACATTTAACTCAAAATCTTTCAATACTATTCATTCAAATAATTTATTAGTTGAATTTGAAATATTTGTTCAGTTTTAGAAAATACCATTTATTAAAAATAATATTGTGTAGACATGTTATTATCTCATTAGAATTTACTAAACAATAATTTATTACATTATAATTATATAAATAACATCATATTTTTATTATTAAGAGATCATATAATAAAATACACATAAGATCCCGACTAAGCACATGAATCCGATTATTTACCAATGATTAAATTACAACATATGTATATTTAAAAAAGAAAGGAAAACAGTTGTCAATATTTTTGGTTTTATAGAGTGTTAATGAATTAATTATATATGTGTTATTTATTGTCCATAGGGATTGATCGGTGATCATAATAATAGGAACAGATTATGACCTTTACACTGTTAACAGTAATGATAACAATCAAAGGGTTCTTATCATACTTTATACTTTGATTTAGATAATCGATCTATTAGTTTATATTTATGATCTAATCTAAAAAATGGTTAGTTTAATTAAGAAATAGAAATTCTATTTGTTTACTATGCCATAAAGTTATATACATACTGAATAGATAGAAATATATTCTTTAAAGAAAAACATTTACACAATGATTGTGTTATAATGCTTGATTTTCCTCGTCTACACGAGACGCGAATTTGCCTTAGGTGAATATCTACACACGATACTCTCCAAGTGTCTATCCTATAGAACTTCAACAGAACTCAGATCTAGAATACATGACTAGCCTGGTTAGAACGTAAGTATATTCCCACAGCAAAAACCGACAACAACTACAATAGTAATAAGGCTAGGGAAGTATATAACTCATCTAATATCTGTCAGATCAGTCTAACTAAGCAAACAACTAATCATTTACATCCTCGCCCATACACCAGATTATTAGATAGTATGTCAACTAAAAAATCATTATAAGGTGAACGCTGATTATGTTGTCCAGAACAACATTAAAAGAATAGTATTTTGGCAATGTAGAATTATTTGGACAGTATGGTTTAATTGGGAAGCCAGGATCTGAGGTCTTCTGGGAAGCCTAAGAATTATGAATACAATCTTACTCAAGTATACACTGAGACCGTCCCAAAACAAAAAACATTAATATAAACATTGTTTTCAAGCATTTCCAACTAACTACAATGAAAAATAAACCTTCCAAATGATTAATATATTACTAACTTACGCCTGTTACACCTCGTGGAGGAGCATAGGCCACCCACCCACACTCTCCATCCAACCCTGCCTGGGAAATCCTTTCCAGTTGTTATTCATCCTTTTTACATCTGCTTCTATTTCCTGACGTAATGTGTTCTTTGACCTTTCGCTTTTCCGCTTCCCTTCAGGATTCCAAGCTAGGGCTTGCCTCGTGATACAGCTTGGTGATTTCCATAATATATGACCTATCCATTTCCATCGTCTTTTTCTCATTTTCTCTTCATATGGAAGCTGGTTTGTTCTCTCCCGTTGTTTATATTTCGATACCGCCATTATCTCACGTCATTAAGACTAGATAGATCATGGCTAGCATTGGAAATCAAGATGCGTCTTTTGACCTGTTTGGGACTTGTCAGCTGGATGTACCTGCACACTATTGCTAATATTCACACTAGGACTCGCACTCCGTACCTTTTGATTTATACACCAAACCCATAAAGCAGTCAGCTACCGAATTTAGATACCCAATAATGTTTTAAACAGGTGTAACTTCCGCATTATTATTATCAGAAAGAATTTGAGTTATCCCGTTGTTTGGGATTGGATCGGAATTCACTCCCCAATATTAACAAAGGGATACCTTAAACTATTATGATATAAACATCATACCCATTGAATACGTGAGTGAATTTTTGGAACCAGTAACTCTTTGAAACGAGAGACACTGAGTTGGAGTCCAGGAGCTAACATCAACACAGGGATATAGGTACAACTGGCTGACCAGTCTCAAATAGAATGAAACGCGTATCATAGTTTTCTGTAATAGCCACAACCCATATATACTAGATTATGAGTAATATGAATAATAAATACGATAATTCACTATATTAATATACACGTGCTTGACAAAGCATATGCATATGTATATATAAACACAAATCTTATGACTGTTACAAATAGCGTCAATAAGGATAAAATTAAATGTCATTATTCAAAAATAACATAAATCAAAACTAACACAGTTGTAATAACTTATAAACAAATACTGACTTGTTTACACGTTGTAGATTATTTGAAAAATATAATTATGGATTGATGACATAAGATGTAAAACAAAACAAACTAGTGTTACATGTCATAATATATACTCGTTAAAAAAACTTAAATTTCATGGAATGGATTTCATCAAAGACTGAAATCAAGAATAATTGTGAAACATGCAATACAGTTGATTTTTTTTAATTTCTACTATGAGCGTACATCACCCATGCAGGAGTTTGACTAGGACCTTCAGGTCCCACACAGGAAGCACTATATGTTTGAACTAATGTATTAAAAAAAATAGTATTCAACAATCCCATTTGCGGTCAGTTCATGAGACAATGTAAAGATCATACTATACTATCAATGGAGAGCTTCATAATTTCTTTTGAATGCACTATTGAGTATCTCAAATTAAGACAGAAACGTTCTAAAAGTGAAGTGATGGGGACTTGTAAGTCAAGTCGACAATTTTGTTGAAACTGTGTTGCTGCGAACCAATCAGAAACTGTATAGAGAAAAAACAAGTTTAACGCATACTATACTCCATTAAATATCTATGCAAAACGTTTAATATTTACTATCCATGCTATCTGAAAGGAAAAATTGTTTATATGACAGATATGATAAACACTATAATTGAAAAGACGCAACTTAAGTTGAAAAGAGAGTTGCACAGCATTTCTAACTAACTACTACATCATAGTTATTCATAATGTAGTGTCCTTGTAAATAGTACACAAACTATAGGGAAAAGTATTAAAAGAGGTTTAAAAATTTATTGTTGAACTACAATATCAGACACATTCACAAATAATAATAAATCGATAAGTACGGTTTGCAAACTGTTTATCAAAGTGTAGAACGAGTACTTTATCGAGATAAGTCGATATTTACCCTTTAAAGTAGATATTAACAAACTCTAACAAATATATGGCTGATGTCATACATACATTAGCCCATTGAAATTTGATAGATGAAAAGAATTATAGAGATTCAATCAATTTCATTTCCATTGTTTTACTGCATTAAATAATAGTAATAATAATAATTATTATTATCAATACTAGGACAATGTTATAAAAAAAATATTACCATTACTATTAGTAATATTATGAATATTAGTTTTCATTCCTACTCATAATTGTAATTCTGAGGATAAAAGAACGAAGGAATAAGAAGAATGGGACAGAGGCGAAATAAATGAGGAAAAAAGAATATTGATCCGATTGGAGGATTAGAGAAACGATGAGTTATATGATACAAAAGTATTTTATCTAATTAATAATTAGAAAAAAGTGAAGATCTACGGATGAATAAGGATAGTTTTTTTATTTGTGATCTATCAGTTTTTCTACAACTAATAGGACAAATTATCATAAGCACACTACACAACACATAAATATATAATGATTGTTTGGTTTAAGCAGCAATATTACCATTATTAATAGAGGACAGAATACATTCATCAAACAGATAAGATTGTCAAAAGATGAAATCGCTTACCAAAACCTTTGACGAATAAAACATTATAAATGAGGAATAAACGACTGTTTATGAAGAAAAAAATCACAAATCCATTCACTCTGTCCCTTAAAATATAAACAATATAACAATCGTCAATAATGGTAAAACCGTGACATACTCCACTTTTTTATTGGATATATGAAATTTATTATTAGAAAGTGCTTATAGTGTATGGTTGATGGTCCGATTGAGGAGTCAATAGATCGAGAGAAAAGTGACAAACAACAAATTAATCCAAGGTAGATAGACAGACACACAGAGAAAATATAGGCATATTACATGGTTTGTGTAAATCAAAAACAATGACTGATAGAGAGAAATACTAACTGCGTAACACAATTGAACTGTTATGATCCTGGAATGGAACTCCTCGGCAGTCCGGACTTACAACCTTGGTACAGGAAATCAAACCATGGATCTTCGTTCTCGTGCATGAATACGTAATATCTAGACTGCCGGGGTAATATTTAATGGTGTACATGTCGAAATCCAATTAGCTCACGATATTGAAAAAACTTCTTCCACTCCCTGTGGTGAATAACCACCTCACATCCGACATAACGGAACTTCACTGGTCACGGCTTCTCACAGGAACTCCAGGAGTTAATGCAATCCATAAGCATTCTACAGTCTCCACTAAACCCTATGCTGATAAACTATCATTCAAAATAAATATTGAATATTGTTCCCATCTTGTTTTTTAAAATGTAGAATCATGTCTATTTAACGTATATGGAAAACAAACAAACATCATTTTTTGAAAGTCCGATAAATTATATTTATTAATATGATTAAATACGAGAATGGTGTACACAAACAAAAACACATTGCTTCAAAGCTAGAGCAAGAGTTATTTTTCTTTCAAAGAAATATATATCAGAAAACTTATTAATAAACTTACATTACTAGACAGTATTCCTGGTAAGATCGTGATTAGCCCAACAACTACACCCTTACCATCTAACATGTGTATATATAATAGAATGCTTTCCAACCAGGTTAATGATTTTCATAGTCAATATACATCGCTCAAAAATTAATTTATTATGCTAGCAATGAATTCGTTAATACACCCTAGCTCAAAATCTCTAACAATGAAGCAAATGTATTCGCTCTCTATTTTCCTTTTGATCTTGAATACCAGCATCGCTTCATCCACACCTTTCCACTCTCTCTTTTCGAACTTTATTCCCAAAGTTTAGTTTTCTTTTATTGATCATTATTGCTGCGTCATTTTGATTATATTTCTCATTTTTATTTCGTTGTGCTCATGCGGTATGACAACTTCGCAGATTTGTGCGAAGTTCTATGTTATCTGTTTGTCACTGTGACACACCATATATAGAGAAAAACTACGGCTAGAAAATAAATAATTAGCATACGTTTTATAAAATTATTTGATTCTTCTCATGATTTTTTGAAATCTATAACATTAAAACTAAGCAATATACAAAGGACTCAATCTCAAGATAAAAGTACGTACACACACATATAAACACACGCAAAGGAAGGTAGATAGAATTTTTTTCCTCGAAAGCCAATTACCTGATAATATGGATGTCTACGACGGAAAGATGAATTTATTTTATGCGGTGACGATGGGGAGTAGACACTTTTATTAGGAGTAGTAGGAATAGGCGTGGGTTTTGTTGTTATTGTACTATTATTGTTATTGCTACAATTGTTCAATGTCCAAAACATGTCCTCTGTCCAATTTAGATCTCCATTCAATGGAACATGCATTAAACTTCGAGGATGACGTCGTTTAAATGGACTGGAACCTTTTGATGATGTCGAACGTAATGAAGAGTGATTTACTGGCATGGTCTAAAATATATACATTCATGTTAAACAGATGTGCATACGGACTTTTAATTCCAAAGTTGTAAACCACACAAAAGGTATCATGTGTTCATTTATTATTATCATCATTATTAAATTTATAGAAAAATCCGTATCAGAAGTTTGCTATGCTTAAACAAGTAGTGAACGGTTAATACGTTAGTAGGAGGTTAGATACAAGTGAGAGGAGCCACTCTGAATCCCAGTACTGCTCAATGTGTTCACTCAACAAGACGTATTTGCAGTTGCAAGACGAATCAGCAATATATATATATATTCTATTGATGGAAGCCTATATAAAGCTATGCTAGAGATTATTACTAATAATGATACTTGAGTACACAACTCTAAACCATAAACTGGTATCAACATATATTACTTGACAGCGAAATTCTGGCATACGATCTTTTTTATGATTGGTATTAACTTTAAAAGCGTAAGGAAATACAAATATCAAAATTTGAATCTACCTAAAAAATCATTATTTTTATTGATGATACTATAATACCAGTAACTGCCATACTCCACTTATTTTTTCCTTTAAAATGGAATGATTTTTTTTCACATTTCATGATGACATTATTTTTTCAATTACATCAGAAAAGTAATTGGCAAACACTACACAAGCTTTTTGCCAAAAAGGACATTTCTTCAATACTTTTAATAGTTATAGATTTTAATTTTTCCTTTGATACATTAAAATATCCATAATTCTTAAACTATTTCCATAAAATACTCCAAAATAAAATTAGAAAATAATTTCTGGTGTATGCGCGTACGCAATATAAGAAGAACGATTATAACATGTACAAATATGTAGTGTCGACCTTCAAACATAATTGGGTTAATATAGGGTAGAAAGCAAACAAAATATAGATTCGACCTCTGGATGTACAACGTCCAGAAGTTTTATATTAGTCGAAACAGTTGTCCAGTGCTTCCTTGTTTTTAATGTATGTCTGGCTAAACTCAGCCCGTGATTCAAATATCAGCTGTTTGAAATTTGTTATTTTAAAAACTGTTCAGATTTGTAGGTTTCGATGAATTCCGTTTTTAACCACTTGGATTCAAACTTCTGTTTAGTTTGAGTAAGCTAATAGTAGTAGTATCAAATAGCCTCCATACAATATGGCGCAAAGACCATAACTCCAATCTATTAAGTCGTACTTGAACATGTATATTACACGAGAATTAGATGACAATCAATATCCTATGTTGAACGAAATCAATGAGTAATAAAATGAAATGATCAAACTAAGCCTTAAACATTCGCACTTACAAATAAATGATTGGAGGTTGAAAGCAAAAAAGAGACAGTCAAACAAAGATGTGGTATAAGTCGATACCTGCTAATTTGAAACGTGTAAGTAAACGTAAACTATTTGGTTGAGATTCGTGTTTTAACTTGGATCAATGGTTGAAGTGTCATAATTAAAAATCAGTCTCGATTGACTAAATGTATCCGTCCTGTGTCTTACCCTAATTCTTTAATTTCAGCATTGTGTTATCATTTGTTTTCTGTGAATCGATTCCTTATTTTTGAAAACCACTGAATATTTCTAGAACCCTAAAATGGCAGTCTATAGTTTCAAATACTTCAAATAAGCGCCATGGTTAAGAGTTATATGATGTTCGATTAACAATGAAACGTTTACAGTTCCAGTTATATTAGAACCATCAAAGTACTGAAGTGAGTACTCAGTTGTCGGAGACAAATATCAATCACTTTGAAGAAAAACGATTTGTAATACCATGGATAGATTTACATTATTTACCGACTAATCCAAGTATAATGTAGAAAATAATTTGAAAATATATATAATTGAATAAAAACAACTTTTGCTTAACTTTCATTCCATAATTAATGAACAAGTAGACAAAAATAGAACATTGCAGGTGGTTAGAAATAGTTGACAGGAAAGCCTGGACCTAGGTTTATGTTACTTCGCACTCATCAGCAATGTGTACCTGGAATCTTAAAAAGATTGATTCACCTTATAGGATTTAAAGAATTAGTTGTCATAAATGTCATACCATAATTTACAACAGAGACATAAGAAATATAAGTGAGTGAAACTATATTTTCTTCAATAAAAAAGGTAACCAAGATTACTGTCAGTCGTGAAAAACTAGAACTAAGAATGATATCGGCAAACAAAACGGTATAGAATAATACTTCTGTATCTACATTGATAATTTCATTAGATCGAGTAGACATACAGACCAATTCTAATATATGATTACTTTTATCGTATAAATGATTCAACACTAATGGAGTATATCATTATATGACTTAGTTTATTAACACAAACCAATAAAATAATGTTGAAACAGAGCAAGAGCAACAAGGTTTCCAGAATAACATGAATTTGTTATTCTGTTTCAGTTTTTCATGAGCTGCATACAAACTAAAATAACAAATTTAACAGTTGAATTCATAAGTCGATCAAAGCTAGACTATCATCGAAAAACCTGAAGCACTGGACAACCATTTCGTTCTAGTATGGGACTCCTCAGCAATGCGCATCCACGATCCCTCACTCAGGACTCAAACCGAAGACGTTCAGTCTCACGCGCGAACGCTTAACCTCTAGACCACTGGGCCAGTGTTAATATCTAACTTCAACCGATCCATGATCTTGCGTAACCCTT